TGTCGAAGGTCACAAAAATGAGGTGGTAGCTATGCTAGAGGCTGATATGATCTTGAATGAGTGAGTATACGAGATTATTATTTAAGCTCAAGAACAAACTATCAACAGGGTGTTAGGTGAAATAGCTTGGAAAGGATTTCCAAACCTTCAGATTCCACTTTGTCATCTTAAGTAGAGTCACTACATGCACTCAACCTATGACCTTAATATGGCTATTTATACCTCTTTCACAAAAGTTGGATTCAAGCACACTACTAGATCATTTATTGTGTCGGCATCATTCCTCGGAACAAATTGTATAGACATAATTACTCACAAGATCGAGCAAACTTGGGATTAGATATGGCAAAGGAAATCTCAAGAGTTTGATACTTTGATGGCATGCCACAAGGAGACATAAGCCTTTGTAAGTTGGATGTTCTTCATTATTTATGGAAACCATCAATGGCTAGCATTTTGAAGATGTATCCAAAAGAAGTTCCAAGATGATGATAAGTGATATATTTGTGTTCCAATGACAATTGTGGGCCAAAGGATTGAAACCAAGCTGTGAGGCTCAACCTGGCATGTCACAAAATCAACATGTAAAAATCCCTTACTAGTAAACTTTGTTCGCACCAACTATGTTATAGGCTTAATTAGTTTGCTTTCCAAGCACATACCTTGGTCCATGATATCGAGCACCTTCCAAATTTGAGCCAAGTGATAAATCAATGTGATTCATTTCATTGATAAATATATTGATAAAAGTAAAGAAAACTCAATAATTTACAAGATGGAATAGATAGAGTTGTTTAGCAACTTTATATCAAGTTATATCACTACTTTAATTTTTTCTTACTTTAAAGTAATTTTTTTAAGTCTATCACTTGTATAAGTATGTGAAATTTTAATAATAAACTATTATATCAATCAAGTATAATAAGTATAAAAGTATAATTAAAATATCACGTTTAGTATTTTTAAACTTTTCACTTCAATAATTTTAACTCTAACTTCATCTCATATAAAATTGTTTTTTTATATCATCAGATTTTATAATGAATTTTATAGCTAATCTCCCAACCTACCTAACTTCATCTCATATATAATTCATTTGATTTCTTAATTAAATTTAATAGTTGAGTTGTATCTACTCATAATGTTCTTTTTATCTATCTATAGTGATGCTTCATTATGAACTAAAACTATTACACTTTAAGAAAAATTAATGTTATTTTATCATTTTCTAAATATCTTTAATAGCATTAGGATATTATTTATCATAATGGAACATCTTTTTATATAAATAAAACTCTTTTATTAAAACTTATTATTTATGTGGATATTTAAAATATTTATTATATCTTTTTTAATAAAATAACTTATAAAGATATGTAATATATTAAAATAAGTGTGGTAACTATTACTCATAAATTTTAATTACGAATTAAAATAAATATATAATACCATATAATTTAAATTATTAAATAAAAATTATTAGTAATTATTAAATAAATTTACTTCAAAGTGTAGTTTCTCCATCAGCTAATCACTCATGATATATATACCTGCACCACTATTCACTAGAATCCTTTGTACTTGAATCCCTTCAAGAATAACTTCCACCATATCAGCTACAGCAGTGAGACATCTAATAAAAACTATATTAACCACAATCATTTATGCAAAATGTCAAGTAACACCACAAAATAGATGAATACTACACAGTTTACAATAGGTAGTGAGAATTAAACCACAAGTGAGTAAAATGATGAATGGAATTGTGGAGAGAATATTACCTATACTTATTATTGCACAAATACTTAACAAGCTTGACTAGGGCTTATGACCATATTATTTGATATTGTCAGATGTTAGAAAGTTGCCACAATTTATAATTTATGTCACTCTTGTACTTGATTGATTGATTGATTTAAAAATGATTAATTCTGCCATTGATGGCCACTTATCCTAAGAACTTGTTATAAATATATTTTAATATAACATTTTAGATAAAGGTATAAAACTTAATTGCAAAATATAACTCATGTAGTATTAAATCCTTTGTTACGTTTGCATTAAAAAAACTTACACTTTTTTACAATCTATCATAAAAGACATTTCTTCTCCAAAACAAATAATATTCTAAATAAAGATATTTATGAATTTATCTTAGACTAGTAATTGCCTAGCATTAGTAGTTGGCAAAGCCTCTCAAACTCACCAACATATTTTCCTGACATAATCTGCTCATATCTCACAATTTCCTTGTTGATCCCCAGCTGTATAAGAGTCACTCTTCTTCACTTTAAGCCATCTAAGAAATTTATTGACCTTTTTGACAAAGCCACTACCTCATATCACAACACTAGCCACTAGTACATAATTCAGCTACAATAACCATCAAGCCTGTGATGCAACCTAGAGAGAGACATCCCTTTGATAGCCTTTTTGACAAAAACTTAAATTTAGTTTTTATAAGTATCCAAGACATAAATTTAGAGGTATACAATTGCACATTGACTCTTATATGCTATCAACTTCTATGATTATCCATTTTTTCCACCTCTTCTAGGATTGTGCTGGGATTTGTGAGCTCTTAGGTAGCTATAGCTCTATGGTTGTCAATGTTGACTGCTTCTTTGATATAAAAATGGAAAAGAGTTTGCAAGCTGATTTGGAATGGAAAAAAGATGTAACTGATTCTAGAAACTTTCAAGTAATTCTAGTGTTGGTCAATTCCAGAAGTAGAAGCATCAGGTTGTGATGCAATATCTATAAAAGTGCCAATTCCAATGATTGTGGGCAATCCTAAATTTTATTTGGCATGAGCCCAATGCCAATTCTCAACACATCATTCATCACTGGTGGACAAAACTAAGAGTACATGTTATTGAGAATGGATCTAAGGTAATGGGCATTTTTTTCTGTCCTGAGGGCAATGTGATTGTCTCAAATTCCTGGACCAACATGTGTCTTGTCTCATCTATAGCTTTCACCCACAACACCCAATAAGCTTCTTCTCTTCAAGCTAGCATACTCGTTATTGATTGGCCATCCAAACATCATGCAAACCAAGCTTGACCCGGGCCTAGGATCCAATGACCGGCAGGCCTCACTATCGCTTTATTTATATAGACTAGTATTGCCAGTAAATGCTAGGTGAATATAAAAATTAGAGATTTCATATAAATTTCTTTGCTCTTGTGAATTTGATAATATGAATATATAAGTAAAAATAAGTATTTATTAATAAAAATATTAGATACAAATTATTATTTGGAATTATTAACATATTTAGAACAATACCTGACCCAGAAAAAAGTAAATATGGAACTTTCAATATTAATTAGATATTATATGTAAATTATTATTTACTGGGATAAATTTATATTAAGAGTTTATCAAACAAAAGTAAGAGAACATTGACTAAAAATAATCATTAATAATTTAGTTACCAGTTAAGAAAATAATTACTAAGAAAATGTTTTATAAACATAAATTATATATAAGTAAATTCATATCTTATATTCTATAGTATTATATAGAAGACAGAACTACCTAGTTTGCTTTACCTGGAACTCCAAGCCTCAAGAACATGAATGGACTGGATGATGCACAGCTTTCAAGCCTACTGATGCACTATGGAAGAGCTACATGAGAAATAAAGAAAGAGTTTTTACATTTGGAACAGCTTCAGGAAAGACATAAGTAAAATAGGAAAAAACTAACTTAGAGATTACTTATGGATTGCACATGCATAAGTAATCCACTTATGCATATGACCACTTTGAACACCCATTGAACAAATCCCTTGAGCACCATCGATATTGCATGGATTGCCATTCATGCATGCTTGGAGAGAATGCCCTAGAAGATCCCGTGAAAAGGGCCTTGGAGACAAAGAGATCGCATGATTCGACCACCCTACCGAAAATCCACCTCATCACTGAAAAATTGCCCACTTCTGGAGTAGCCTGCCCATTCATTAATATAGGATGTGAGCTGCAGCATGTCCTGCTCACTGTGAAGATGATTTATGGCCTGGAGCAATGCTAACCAATTGACCTGCGTGGAGTAGGAATTCCTGTGTGCCTGGGAGTATACCTTGTGATGAGCACTTTGACAACAGGTTTGCATGAACTATGAACATCCCTGTGCTCGAACGGCACAAGCTCCTGGGCCTCCATATCTGATGCTGAGGTCCTCAGGGGCCATCATCCGCTGCTTGGGGTGGTGGAAGCTTTGCAGCTGCAAAGGCGGAGGAGGAGCCGTGGTAAAAGGGCAATTCCACGCAATCTATCACCAGGAGCTTGAAATGATTCGAGCCTCTTGATTCTGTACATCTGGATATGCAAGTGCAAAGTTTCAATTGATTGTGGCAGTGGATGCTGTGGCAGTAGAAATCAAGCTAGCCTAGGAAAGGAATTGTTGAGAAAGAAAGGGATCACTCACTTGTAGCCACTATTGTTGTAAAGGTGGATGTGATGAGTGTGCCATGAACCATGCTGTGCACACACCTCCATACTTTGCATCACCCACACCAGCTGCCATGGCACAGTCAGCTCCAGAATTCAAACATAGTGCAACTCTTTATTGCTGGCATACACGCAACATGGGTAGAGCATGTTATTTCCTTAAGCATACCTTCTCCACCTCAAGGAAAGTAACTCGGCCTCATCTCCAAGCAGACACAGGTGACTATGACTAAGACTGAGAAATCAAAATCTCTCCACCAACTCATAGACAGTGAATCTGCAAAGCCGCACCAACTCCTTCACTGCGTCAAGAACAAGGAAATCTTACATCAGAAATCAATTCATCTGCCTAGCTCAATCCATCAGTGCCAACAGGATTGCATCCCTCGCCAGCCCCACAGCCGCAGGCAGAACAGCCATAGGAGTGCATGGTGTAACAGCTGTCACCATCTCCCTTCCCGGATCTGACGGCTGCGGGTCTGGGCCATTGGTTCTTATATATATAGATATTTATCCCAAGTTGAGTTTAGGGTTTTTGCTATGGCGGAATTTAGCGCGATTTGGAAGAGGGTAAGCGGGCAGGACGAGCAGCAGGCGCGCAGCGTACGCGAGATTCTCGAGGGTTTTTACTCGGATCCGTGTCGAAAGTATCACGGCTTGAATCACGTGAAGGATTGCTTGGATCAGCTGGCCGATTTTCGCCATGGCGGCAATGCTGATCTCGCGGATTCTCAGCTCGACGAGGTTGCCGTTGCTCTCTGGTTCCACGACGCGATCTACAACCCCAAATCGACCAACAACGAGGCCAACAGCGCGGCGTTGTTCGTGGATTTGTCGCGAGGTATGGAGGCGAGCGCTCGCGAGAGGATTGAGAGGATGATCCTGGCGACAAGAGACCACATCGGAGACGATCCGGCGGAGAGGCTGATCGTGGACATCGATCTGTCGATTTTGGGACGCGGGAAGGAGGATTTCAATGCGTACAACGAGGGCATCCGGAGCGAGTACTCGTGGGTACCCGAGAATGTGTATCGCGAGAAGAGGGCCGCCGTGCTCAAAAGATTCCTCGAGCGAGAGCGCCTCTTTTGGACGGATTACTTCCACGCCAAGTTTGAGCGAGAGGCGAGAGCGAACCTCAAAACAACTTTGGCGGCTCTAGAGGGTAAGAGTTGTGATTAAAATAAAAAAATTTCCTTACTCACGAGTCCAGAGCCAGAGAGTGGCAGAGACGGGGTGGCTTTCTCTTGATCGATCGATGGAGGCCGCTTGGCTTTTGGCTCTGGGATTGCTGATTCTCCTTGTCTCACCATCTCTTCTAAGCTCACTGGTGATGAGCCATTTAGGAGCTGTGCTGGATATCTGATGGCTCCAAACACCTAGAAATAGAATTGAAATAAATTAATTTAATTTTAAGTAATATTTATATTAGCAAAGAACATGTGCTTTTCTTAGAATATAGAACAATAAAATTTTAAGAACACTAATATACTAAGTAAAACTAAGAAAAGAAATACAAAAAATAATTATTATTAATATATAAACTATAAATTCAAGATTTATAAGGTGTTTAATTTTTTGTATTAAGACTAAGCTAATCCACACCTTAAGCATTTACCTCATGTTTGAAATGTAAAACTTGCTTAGAGAGAGTAATCCATATGGAATTGCTGTAATTGCTCGATCAATACATCAGTACAACTTAGGGCGAACTAAACATATAGAAAATTGTAAAACAGGCTAAGTGCCATCTTAATTATATTAACTGATTTAGTAATTATAGTATCCAAGCTAAAAAACAATATTCTTGGCCCAATGGTTTCACCACTTAAGCAACATCTCCTGTACAATCACCAACAAACTCAGCAGCCATGCCCTAAGAGCTGTTGTTCTCCTACCCATACAATCTCTTGCAAGAGTTTTCCAAGAGCCAGAAAAAATTGATAAGTGATGCAAGAGGGCCATAGACCTATAGCAGGCAACATTTTTTATCACTTGTTGTCCATGGCTTATGCCCTAGCAATTCTCTACCCCAACACGCAGTCTCCACAAATTCAAATGGTAAACACTCACCAGAGAATTGGGTGGCAATAGTAAACTAGATCAATCAATTTCCCATGGCACTCCACTTAGCACTCCATTGCTCTAGAGTGCTGGCCATAACACTCCACTACTAGTCCAGCCCTAGGGAGAGAAGCTGCAAAAAGGATGGAAGACAGCATAGTATACATAAGTCAAGCATGGCAAACTTGACATGCCCATCCACAAATTATGGAGCTCCTAGGCCTCCATCTTTGGCATTGTGGTCGCTCTGTGGAGCTCTGGCCGGGAAGGCCCGAGGCCGCTGCACTCGCACATCTCCTCAAGGTACGTTGGTTTCTTACTAGTGAAATTTAGACACTTGATAGCCGGGACAACGATGACAACACTCGTCTTAACATTCGAGAGAGAACGGTATGTGCTCTAGGGAATAAACGAGTGGAGTGAAAATTGCGAAGACAAGGATGAAACAACGCTCGCTTTGACAAGGGTCTTAAGATTCAGTGTGATTTAGAACTAAACGAGATTTTCACACTGCTCAACGTAGAAAAAGGACACAACTCTCACAACTCAAACAACGCTGTCAGGCCCGAGGCCCCTGCACTGCTCGCTCACACATCTCTTCACCCTCGCAAGTTCACAATTGAGCCAATATAACGATGAAACAACGCTCGGATTCCAGACCTTACCATTGAAGTCAGTTTGATTAAGAACAGTCTTAAAAGGAGATTTTCGCACCGTGCTCAACGTAGACAAGAATGATACGAGTTGTGATCGCTGAACAGTCGCAATGGTCACTGGACAATGCAAAACAAATCAAGTGTAGTTCAACTTTCTAGACTACAAGGTACTGTTCAACAACGATAACAAGGATGCAAGCGTCATGAAAACAACGGTCCAATACCATAAAACTCGATAGGAAGACGAAGATGAGTACAGGACAGGAGGGTGAAGCCAGATGGTGATCACTGGACAACGCTGTGATCACATGAAAACAACGATCCAAGACACAAAGTTGACATGAAGGCGAGAACGAGAAGCTCCATTTTACCAGGTTCGAGTTCTCTTCGGTTTTCCCTAACTCGTTTTCCTTGTGTCGCAACCCCATCAACGAGCAACGTTTGTGCTGTTCGCGAGAACGAGGACGAGAAGCTATTACCAGGTTCGTGTTTTCAAAGAAATATGATCAATTGGAAAAAGAAATATTTTACAATTGTCTTCGCCTTGTCCTCTTCTTGCTGTTCTCCTCGTTGCTCTCTAGAAATCCAAGTAGAAGTAGCATGTCCCAGAAGCGCCACCCCGAAGCGCCACCCCGCCACCATCGCCGCCACTGTCGTCACCGCCATCGTCAAGCTTGGGGACGAAAGCTTTCTTCGATTGCATTGGAGAGACGACAGCCGATTGGTTTTGGATTGTTTGCTGCTGGGCTTCACACGTTGCCCTCATCGCGCTGCAAGTGGTTGTCACTGCTAGAGCCGAGACATCTGACCAACATGAATTATCCGAACGAGTAATCGCCGCTCCGACGTCGGGAGCTCGGATTTGCTGCGCGAGAAATGGGGATGCGAGCACGGCCGACATAGCTGCTGGCCCGCCCAATCGAGAAACGAGTGCCACAAATGTAGTGGAGCCGCTGGAAGAAATCGTCGCCTCGCCGCGCGCCAAAGCGATTCCTTCCTCCCCTCTGCCTTCTTCCCTCACCAGGTTCGTGTTTTCTCCAGTTGTCTCTTAACTCTTTTTTCTTTTTTGACGAGGTTTTGCATAGCGGAGAATGCTCTGAGTGTTGTTGGATTTCGGAGGATAGAAGAGAAAGCTCTGTAATGGTTTTTTCTACACACTGGTTTATCGCAAAGATCTAGAAGGTAGAGTTAAAGTTGGCCCAAAGTTGTAGGAGTTTATGCCCGCTGGCTCAAAATTATGCTCTTGTACGGAATAGCATACATGAGGGGGAGAGCGTCAGCGCGAAGGCGCCCAAGTCCCTAGAGCGCGGCGAGCCCCAAGGTAAGCTTTTTTCTTCCTTGTAGCGCTCACCTAGGAGAGATGCTGTAGCTGCGCTCGGAAGAAATTCCCGAGGTTTGTAAATCGCCGTTTCGCAGGCTCGAGACTTTTGGACCTAATGTGGGGAGCATTGGAGCGCTGTGTGCATTGCCACATTCGGCTATCAGGCAAGTAAGTAGCCCAATTTCTAGCTTGGAACACGAAACGTTGGGTGGATTTTTTCCTTCTTCGTTTCTAGCTTTATGCTAGAGAGGCTTAGATGTTTAATCTTGCGTGTGCGTTTTGTTTGTTCAGGAGAACCGAAGAATACTTTCAGTAGAAGGATAATAGTTTGGGCCTAGTCTGGAATTCCTGGCGCTTGTAGGTAAGGAGGCAAATTGCTAGCTTAGAATGCTGGCTGGATTTTTCCAAGAATCCTGCAGAACGATTTTTGTTTTTCTTCCACTTCTCTAAGATTAGTTTTTCTTCCTTTCCAGGGATTTTCTGTCCAGGAAAATTTAATCCAGTAGGAGGATAATAGTCCCGAAAGAACTCCTCGCTCACCAGGTAAACAAGCAATATCTGGTTTAGAAACCAGGCTAGTTTTTTGGAAGAGCCTTGCTGTTTTTCTTCTTTCGCTTCTTTGATTTTGTACTGTATGTGTTGCTTGCAAGAGAGATCTCGGAAGAGGAACTGAATGGTTTGTTTCACCAATTTTTTTTCAGGTGGAATCAGGTGCTAGAAGATTATGATATTCTGGACCATATAAGTGCTCAAGGCCTAGGTAAGAACTATAGATTTTAAGGCTGTGGAAGTATTTTTCCTTTTCCTTGTTTTCTAGGTAGAAGGGAGAAGAGTTCTACATGCTGCCACAAAGGTACCGAATTTTTCTTTAATTTTTTTTTTCTCGTGGGTCAAACTTTTTTTTGAGCAGGATAAGAGGGTGTAAGAACGAGCTGCATAGGTGACAGAAGAATGGGAAGCGTGGAGCAGCCATTGGAGTTAGCTCCCAGACCAATCCAGCACGTCTACTCTAAGAGGCAGAAGAAAAAGCCCACGGACGACACCGATCCAGCAAAGAGGAAGGAGCCCGATAACTCGCTCGCAAGCCAGGAAAATGGAGCTCCGGTGAAGCCGGATGTAAGCAGCGGCGGTGGAACGAGTGACAAAGCTGGAGAAAAGTCACAGGAAGAAAAGGAGAGAATCCGCGAGCCGATGGATCAGGAGAAGCTCCAAAGTCAGCACAAGAGCGATGGAGAGAGCGAGGAGCACAGGAACTCGAAGATGAGCCGGCTTTTAGAAGTGGCTACGAGCGAGTTCCACAGCGAGGAGCTGCTCAGGGAGGGTGGCGAAGCTACCGCCAACGGCGGGCTCAAGGGATACCAGCGGCGGCGCAAGCGTCAGATCGTCCAAGATGGTGTCACTCCGGCGGAGAGCTCGCCGAGGAAAACGCTCGACCGGAAAAGATCGCGGGATAACTCGGACCTGGTGTCGAGCGATCGTGTCTCGAATGGAGCAGCGAGAGATGGCGATAGCGATGGAGTCAAAGAGATCGAAGCCGAGGGTGGCGAAGAAGAAGACGAGTATAATGGCGAAGAGGAAGAAGAGGAGGACGATGACGAGGAAGGGGATGAGGAGGAAGAAGAGAAGCGAGCTCCGAAACGCCGAGGACGAGCTCGAAAGGCGCCGTCTCCAAAGAGGGAGACGATCAAACCACCAAAGCGGCGTCCTGGAAGGCCGAGGAAGGTGAGGCCGCCGCCATCGCCAGACAACACCACCACCACCGCCACCACCAGGAACCAGAAGATCAATGCGAGCAGCAAAGAGGCTCTCCCACAGAGCTCCGAGGATGGCCAGGACGAGAACTTGAGCGATGGCGAGCGCCTCAAGCGCGCTCGCGGCTTCAAGCGCGTCTACCGCTGGCTCCACGATCTGGAGCTCCTCAAGTACGCCGAGTGCTTCGAGAAGCACGAGGTGGAGGACGATGTTCTTCCGCTGCTAACCTTCGATGATCTTCGCGAGATGGGGGTGAGCGCTGTGGGCGCGCGCAGGAAGATGTTTACGTCGATCCAGGACATGGAGCTTCCCCGGAGGAAGTCGCGCTAGAGGAAGACGAAGAAGATTACCATAACCAGCTCTTTAACTAAACTAAAAGAACTTGACGTTGCCGGGGATCGAACCCGTGACTGCTTCTTTTTGGGTGGTTGGGAATCGAACGGGGAATCGATCTTTTGGGCCTTATAGGTAAGGAGTTTCATTTTTTTGTGTGACGATTTTTCTAGGTCGGTTTTTTAGAGCGTCCAAGCGACGGCGACGGAGATCGTGGTTTCTCCCCGCGCGAGCAATCGCGAGATCTTGACGCCGCCGTGATCGCCAGCGCGCAGGTATGCATCGCAGCGGCGGGAATTCGTGAAATCCGGGCGCCGCGATGGGGTGTGATTACTACGATGTGCTCAAGGTGGGCAAGAGCGCGTCCGAGGACGATCTCAAGAAGGCCTACCGGAAGCTGGCGATGAAATGGCACCCCGACAAGAATCCCAAGAACAAGAAGGAGGCCGAGGCGAAATTCAAGCAGATTTCCGAGGCCTATGAGGTGAGCGCCAGAGATTTCTCACACATTTCTAGCCTAGGGTATGGAAATCTTTGATTCCTCCTCTCCTTTGTAGGTGCTGAGCGATTCCCAGAAGCGCGCAATCTATGATCAGTATGGCGAGGAGGGGCTCAAGGGACAGGTGCCTCCTCCCGGCGCTGGCGGCGGCGGCGGCGCCACCGGATTCTCCAACGGGACCGAACACGTCTTTCGATTCAATCCCAGGAACGCTGAGGACATCTTCGCCGAGTTTTTCGGGAGCTCCAGCCCGTTTGCCGGGATGGGGATGGGGAGGTCGGGGCGCTCGGGCTTTGCCGATTCCATGTTTGGCGAGAGCATCTTCCGATCGTTTGGCGATGGCGGGGGGCCCTCTTCGGGTCCTAGGAAGGCCGCCGCGGTAGAGAACAAGCTTACGTGCTCTCTCGATGAGCTCTACAATGGATCCACGCGGAAGATGAAGATATCAAGGAACATTGCCGACGCTTCCGGGTAAAAAGCTCTTGAAAACTTCTCTCTTTTTTCCTACGACTCATTCGCTTGCTCAGTAAGACGGTGCCCATCGAGGAGATCCTCACGATCGACGTCAAGCCCGGGTGGAAGAAGGGGACCAAGATCACTTTCCCTGAGAAGGGCAACGAGCAGCCAAACGTTGTCCCGGCGGACCTTGTGTTCGTGATCGATGAGCGTCCGCACGAGGTTTTCAAGCGAGATGGCAACGATCTGATAATGGTCCACAAGGTGCCGCTGGCCGACGCTCTCACCGGCACGACGGTGTCCATCCGGACTCTAGACGGCAGGATGCTCAACATTCCAGTAGCGGACATAGTTTACCCGGGATACGAGAAGGTAGTTCGTGGCGAGGGGATGCCGATTGCGAAGGAGCCGGGCAGGAAGGGGAATCTCAGAGTAAAGTTCGACATCAAGTTTCCGAGCAAGTTGAATCAAGAGCAGAAGACTCACTTGCGGAAGGCGCTGGGATGATAGTGGTTTTGGATTCTAGTTTTCCAGGGTTGGCAGCAGTACGGGGATGGCTTTTAGTAGGGCTGGGCGGTGGCGGCGAGATGCTCGTAGAGCTGGCAAGCAGCACAGGGATGGAAGTTTTGGTCGGGGTTTATATTTGTTTTTTGGTTTGGGGGGATTCCTGGACTGGTCTGGGCAGTGGGCTTTCTGGCTGGACATCGCAGTCCGGAAAGCAACGTTGGCTGGCTAGTGCTGAAAGGTGGCGCAGTGGGATTATTTTTCGCGAGGGAGTTTCAGTACTGAGTGGCAGGGAGGCCTATGTTTGTACAGGCACCGGGGGGAAAAGCAGGTAAGAACTCGACTACTCTGGAAGGCAAAAGGATAGAAAGCAGGGAAGAACTTGACGACAAAAGTGTAGTATATTCACAGTTCAAGCCACGAAGAAAGATCACCAGAAGTTGAAAGCTTCCAACGGAGAAAAGAAGAAACGCAGAACGAGATCACCAGAAGTTGAAAACTTTTCCCTGGAAGGCAAGGATCTGGGAGGAAAAGAAGGCACCCAGCAGGACGCCGAGGGCGACGAGCACAGCGATGAAGTTGCCTTCTCGGACGATGCTCTTGAGGGTGCCGAAGACGATCTCCCTGGCGAGCTGGTTGCCGTCTTGGATGAGGAGCTGCCGCCTGGCCAGGCCTCTGCTGCAAGCGTAGTCGAAGAGGAGCGCGGTGGTCCAGGTGAGGATCATCGCCGGGATGAGGAGGATGAAGAGCGCGAAGATTGTGAGGAGGCCGATCTCGATCCCCAGGAAGCACGAGAGCTGGAGTGGCGACCAGTCCCGGGAGGTCCGAGCGAAGGGCTGGAGCTCCAGGACGATGTGGAACTTGAGGATGAGCAAGGCTGCCCAGAGGAGAGCTATGGTGATCGCGATGGAGCTGCCAAGCTTTGTGAGCCGGATGTCCGTCGTCCCAGTCGCGTCAGTACTGTAAAACCCTTGTTGTTCTTCGCGATCAAGTTATTTTTTTCCTATTTTTTTCTCACCGGCTTGATCGCAAGTCCAGAAGGATTGGAGGATTTTCTTCCTCTTCACGAGCGCCGGGATCGTCCATGGGAGAAAATGTGCCGCACGACAGGGCAGAGGAAGAGCCCTAAAATTTGCGTGTGTGTCTTCGTCTACTTGGTTCTCTCGTGTCGCTCATTCGCTAGTTTGCCCGTGGCGCTCGTACAGAATCTCGGCCGTTGGCTTCCAGCCGTTGATTTTGAAAAAGATTCAAGAGATATTCCTTCTTGGATAAACCCTAAAAACAGAACATGGCGATGGTGCTCAAGCTCTCTCCCGCGTCGAGTGTCGGTCCGATTGGATCGCGCATCTCGCTGCATTGCTCTTCTTCTTCCTCTCCTCCAGGCGCGATTTTCTTGCGCAGGAGGAGATCGATTGTTTCTGCCAGCTCGTCGGCGGCGTCTGCGAATTCGTCGCGATCTTCGTCTCCGGCGCCCAGTCTCAGTGATTTGGTGTGGCCATCGGCAGGTATTGCGATCCTGGGCGGTCGTTCTCGATCGGTGAATTCTTTCTTGCTTGAAATATTTCCATGGATGTTGCGCAGGCGCGTTTGCGTCCATGGCCGCGATGAGCGTCCTGGACAAGCATCTCCAGCAGAAGGGGCTCTCCTTCCTCATCGCTCCTTTCGGCGCCGTGTGCTGCGTGCTCTTTGCCACTCCCAATGCTCCGGCAGCTCAAGTAAGCGATCGATCGATCAATCTATTCTTTCTTTCCTCCATCGAATGATCGCTCCTTCCTTTTTTCCATTCTCTGCTGGACAGTGCCTCTTGGACGCTCCAAGAGCCGGCTCCTTGTCTCTTGGCACATAGGTTGGGCTTCTAAATATTTTTGTTTGGTTTTTTCTTCTTCGCAGAGATATAACGTGTTGATGGCACATATGGGCTGTTCTTTGATCGGCGTGTTGGCTCTAGCGGCATTTGGCCCTGGATGGATGGCCAGAAGCGTTGCTCTCTCGGCTTCCATCGTGTTTATGGAGATCACGAAGTGTCTCCATCCTCCAGGTGAGTTGATAGCTCTTTTTCATCTTCCATTTTCCTGCCTGGCTACTGTTAAGCATTGCTTTTGCAGCTGCTGGACTGCCACTGCTCTTCATCGATGGACCCAAGTTCCATCACCTACAGTGGTGGTACATCCTATTCCCGAGCACACTGGGCTGCCTTTTGCTAATTGTCATGGTAAGCTTATAGTAAGTTTCATTTTGGGTTGATCAGTGTTACGTTTTTGCAGCAAGAAGCTGTCAAGTTTCTCAAAGACAACGCAAAATTTTAATCCCATTCAGTGGCATCTACAAATAACTGCTCGAATGCAATAGAAGACAACAACAGACTGGAGCGCTTGCTCACAGCCGGGTGCCAAACCAGTGTTTATACACCAATCTCTTCCGCCCCCACGTCCACCAGATTGGCCGCGCAACCACACGGGGATGCTTATCACGCTTTGGCCGCTTGGATGCTACAACCATCCACGAAGTCAAAGTTGTGCACGTTAACAGCGTCAGTGGCACTCGAGAAAACAGGACGTACGTAAGAAACAAGCAGCTATACAGGACCGGAAGCAGCTACCTCTCTGAAAGCGTTGGAAGTATCAATTCTTTTGTTCCGCCAAAAGGGAAACAACTTATCAATCGCAGGCCTCTCCGGATGGAATTTACAGGCAGGACTCGGGACGCAGCAGTGAAGCACTGTGGGATTCAGCAGTCTGGCTAGCGGCATTCACTCTCCCTGGATTTGAGAACGAAGCAGCATACATGCTCCTCGCCCGGTTCAAAAGGAGTGGAATGGAGGCTATCTAGACGGGCAAGCTTTTCCAAGGAAGCAGGTCATCCAACTTCGGCAGCAGGTAGAAGAGGCTCTGCCCAAAAAGTAGAGCCGGATGAGCGCAAGAAGAACAAAAAATGGAAGACAGAAAAAAAGAGAGGCAAAAACAAACTGGCAGGAGCAAGAATTCGGAGTAAAACAAGGAAATAAAAAAAGAAAAGCTTGGCTCACCTTTCAAGTGCCCATTGATGTGCTGTGAAGTGAACTTCATGAAGGCTGGAAGGCACAAAGCTGACCAATACCGCGACTGTACAGCGTAAACCTCGAGCACTGTAGCCCATCCCGCTTCACTTGGCAGGAGCTCTTCGTCGTCTAAGCTTTCCGGGGCCTCTCCGCACAGAACCTGCGAAATCACTTCCTTTCGGTCACAGACATTATAGAAATCACAAGAAGCTCACTCTCAATACTGCCGTCGCAGAGGCAGAGATCGACCTCAAGTTGTATCTACAAACGGCGTTAACAACCATTGTATACTTTTTGCATGAGAAAAACCATACCCGCCTTCCAAAACTACTAGGAGCTTTCCCCCAGAAACTGTACTTAACAACTGCGTCATCTGTGCAAAACCGGCAGGGGTCACCTGAAACACAAGCGAACGAAGGAGTGAGTGATAAAAACATCTTTGCAGCCGCCGCTCATGTACCTGGCAGCCTCCCAGAGGATCTCCCCGTGCGGCGTCAAAGCCCGCCGACACAATCGTAATATCCGGTGCAAACTGCTTTGCTGAAATCCAACTGTAGTCAGGAAACTTTGACAGTAGGAACATTCGAACATACCTATAGGAAGTACGATATGTTGGAAGGCAACAATGTAGTCATTGTCACCAATTCCAGAACATGGCCATGGTATGTTTATCGAAAATCCTTCTCCAGGACCCGACCCGACCTGTTGAGTAAAGAGACGTAAAGTCAAGAAAGACGGAAGTAAATGGAGAAACTATACATACCTCATGAGCGGCTCCACTTCCCGGATAAAACAAGCCTCCTTCATGCCTATGTAGTGAAATGTACAGCACCTACAACAAATCACCGTGAATTAGACTGAGTTTTCAAAGTAGAAAATGGAAAGAAAAACACACAAAGAGGCACGTACGGATGGATCGTGCTCGAAAATCTCTTGCGTTCCATTACCATGATGAACATCCTGCAAGTCGCGTTGTAAGAGGTTTGACATAAAGAAGGTAGCGGTGACAGGAACGCACCCAATCAACTATCAAAACTTTCTTGGCACCAGCGGCCTGAGATGCTTTGGCAGCTATGCATGCGTTATTATGCAAGCAAAACCCCATCACGGTCGCTCCTTCGGCATGATGTCCCGGCGGTCTTACCTGCCGGAAAATATTGGAAAAATTATCAGAAAGCAATCTCTGGTTTAGTATAACCACCACTCACCAAGGCAAAACCATTGTCGACTTGGCCACTCAAAATCGCTGATGCTAAATCAGCACAGACACCAGCAGCTAGCCTCGCTGCTAACGCCGAATGACCGTTAGCGTAAGTGTCCGATGTAAAGTAACTGAGAAACCGCGAGATGTTTTCAATCATCCTTGTCATTCAGTGGACCAAATGAAAAACAAAGAAAAAGCAGTGTACCTAGATTCTAAACTCGACGTTGCCTCAACAACCTCGACGTGCTCGTGTGTGTGAACCTGCCGAGCTCAACAAAGAACATAAAAAAAAAAATGAGCGATCGAGAACAAAAAATTTCGAAGCATTAGTACTCACTGTCTCCAGTTCAACTCGAGTGATCTCTCTTGCAGGTATCAGAATGCACCCCCCTGGATACAATCCTACATTCCAAATACAAGGCATTAACTGGTGACCTTTAGCAATCTTAACGCCGGAGGAGGATGCACACCAGCTGCTGTAAAGCCCGCCAGGATCGACCGTAGACGGTCTGGCCTTTCTGGATGAGGATTGGATTTCATTTGAAACTGTGGCAAACAGACCACCTGAGGTAAAGAACACCAACAATGTGATTGGGTCTCATACCTCTGCGTGTAGCAGCATTCGATCATCATATCCAATCGCAGTTCTCCTCACGGATAAGCGCTTGAGGGCCTTGACATCTAGACAACAGATGCTTGTCATGTCCAAAGTAAAACAGCGAAGAATCACACCTTTGGCAAGCTCATCAGTGCCAGCTTGAGTAAATGCTGGCGCCAAGTGTCCTTGATTCAAAATTCCAGAGTAGCGATGCTCCGAACAAAGCTGGGAATGTCGGAAAGAAAGAAGAAAAGACGCTAAGCACAGCGAGACAATGAAAGCCCTTAGACGCACCTTGCAATGCGTGCTCTCTTCCACATTGGGCATTGTGCAATTAACACAAAACCATCGCACCCGGAGCTCCAGCGTCGACCCGGGCTCCCAATCCTCGTCCTCCTCCTCGTCCGCCTCATCCCACTCGCCATAGACGAGCTCCTCCAGCAGCTGCTCCTTGGCGCTCCCACCAATCCTCCCATCCGACGCTGCGAATTCCAATCCCGCCCGCGCCTCATCGCCGTCCCGCCCGCTGCTCTCGCAGCTCGCGCTCCACCTCGCTCCATCCAGTGGCGTCGTTGGATTTGGCGCCACCGCCATTTTTTTCCTACCTAAAGAGAGCGCGCGCTAAAATGCGCTCTCCTTCCCCCCTATACTACCACAATATGAAACCCTAATGGTCCCCAGTGGCCACATTTATACAATGAGAAGGGTGGTCCTAAACAAGGTGGCCAAGTGGCCCAAACGATTCCTAAGAATATGCTTAACCACGATTCTTACGAATATACTTAATGCGGCTAATATGCTTCGTCGTCTAGTCTTCGTCTTGCTCGCAGCCTCAGCGGAGTTCTAGGGCTGGCGATGATTCCATTGCCCTCGATGAGATCCACCGCGCCGGCGCTACTCCAGTCGAATCCGTGCACGAGGGCGCCGACGATGTGCTGGAGCTTGATCATCGCGAGCGCGTGGGCCGGGCATCGCCTCCGGCCCGACGAGAATGGGAGGAGCTCGAAGTGGCTGCCATGGACGCCAATCTCCGTGCCGAGGAATCTGTCCGGATCGAATCGCGACGCGTCGCTCCACAGCCGATCGTCCCGCCCCAGCGCCCAGAGATTGACGAAGATGGTGGATTTCGCGGGGATGGCGTAGCCGCCCAGGGAGGATTCCTCCTCGTTGAGGTGGGGGTCGTCCAGCGGTGCCGAGGGATGGAGGCGGAGAACTTCCTTGGCGATGGCTTGGAGATAGGGGAGCGATGGAATGGCCGATTCGTCCATGAGCCGTGATCTTCCCACGACGCTGTCAAGCTCCTGCTGGGCTCGCGAGAGGGTGTGGGGATTTGCGGCCAGCTCCGCCATCGCCCACTCGACCGCCGCGGAAGTCGTGCCGATCCCCGGGAGCAAGGCGTCCTATAACATCAAAGCATGTTAGAGAGAGAATAAGAACAACCAAGAAGCCTACGCTGAGAATTCCCATGATTTGCTTGTCCGAGAGCTGGTTTTGCAGTAGCACGTCGATCACGTCCTTGCCTTTTTCATCCTGGATCATCACAGTGTTCTTCCTGTGCTCCTGGATGATCATCGTGAAGAGAGGCTCGAGCTTGCTCATCAGTCTCTTGAATCTCCCCTCGAGCCCCTGGAGATCGAAAATGCCCAGCGCTGGAAAGTAGTCTGCCAGATTGAGTTCTCCCCACAGGAAGTTCCCCTCTGCCAGATATTTCTCGAATTCTCGCTCGAGCTCGCGGGTGATCCTCCCGGCATCTGGGTTGTCAATGTTCTTCCCGAGGTAGTGATCGCCAAAGAGCATTCGCATGATGATCCTTCCCACAACTCCCTCCGCGATCTTCCTCACATCGACGCTCGCCCAATCTCTCCCGTGGCCGGTGATTCCTAGCAGGGAGTCCACGATCTTGAGGACCTCTTCTCGGCGAAGCCATGCCTGGGAGCTCAATCGCGACGGCGCCATGAGCTCGTTGCTGAAAGCCTTGCGCACCACTCTCCAGTTCTCGTTGAGCGGGCAGAGATTGGGATCGCTGTGCTCGAATCCGATGTATTTCCCGGTCATGGACAGCGGCCTGGACGAGAATTGCGCGTCCTTGAATCGGAGAACCTCCATAGCCAGATCTTTGCCGTGGACGAGGAAGATTTTGGAGGAGCCAATTGGCATGGTGACAATGGGGCCGAATTTCTTGGAGAGCTCCAAGAATCCGCGGTGTCTGTGATGGAAGGGGAAGGAGGGCAAGCAGCCGATCAAGGGCCATTGGAACGGACCTGGAGGGAGCGCTGCTCGATCTCGCGATTTTCTTGCGCGTAACACGAACAGTAGAAACCCCAAGATGATCGCCGCGAAAGCAAGATGCCCTTCCATCGCTGCCAGTCGCAATCCCTAGCGCTAGACTGGACTATCGAAGTATCGCATTCGTGTCGTGATGCTCTTGACTTCAGAGTTTAGGGTTCATGGGTTTGAATGGCTAGTCATGCCGCGCATTCCGTGCTCGATCGATCGATCGATCGATGGGCGCCAAATTCCTCCTCGCCAAGAGATCGATCCAACAGCAGCAGCGGGAAGGTTGGGATCAAGAAGAGCCTGCGCCGCGAGATCCCGACGCCGCAAGAATGGGCGGAGATGAAGCGGCTGCTGGAGCAGATGGAGGCCCGGGAGGTCCAGGCAGAAATTTCGGCTTGCGCGGCGATTCTCACGGCCTGTAGCGATCTGCGAGCTCTTCCCGAGGGTAAGCGCGTTCACGGGCTCGTCATGAGGGAATCGCTCCTTCAAGACGAGAGGCCTGACGAATCGCTGCTGGAAAACATCGTCATCCAGATGTATCTGCGGTGTGGCTGCACGGATCTGGCGCTCGACGTCTTCGATCGGATGAAGGACCAGAACGTTGTGGCATGGACTTCTCTCATCTCGGCATTTACCTTTGCCGGGCATTTTGGCGATGCGATGGTCTTGTTCCGTAAGATGCTTCTCTCGGGGGTCTCGCCGGACAGGATCACTTTCACATCGATTGTCAACACCGCTGGGGCTCTAGGATCTCTCGGCAATGCCAGGTTCGTGCACGAATGCATTGTAGAGGCTGGATTTGGATCTCACACCGTGGTTGGCACTGCAGTTCTTGGGATGTATAGCAAATGCCGGAGCCTGGAGCTCGCGAGAGCGGCCTTCGAGTCAATCGAAGCTCACGACCGGATCTCATACACCGCGATGATCACTGCTTACTCGGAGAACTCGTCCAGCGAAGCCTTGGTGCTCTTCCACAAGATGGTGCTCGAGGGCGTCGCTCTGTGCGACATAACTTTGGCCTCGGCGCTCAACGCCTGTGGAGATCCAGCGATGCTACGCCACGGCAAAGTGATTCACGGGATGGCTGGCGAGAAAGGACTCGAGTCGGACATGGTGGTCGGGACTGCGTTGGTAAACATGTACAGCAAATGCGGAGAGATCGAGCAGGCGAAGGTGGTGTTCGACCGGATGATCCAGCGAGACGTGGTTTTATGGACCGCCATGATCGGGGGCTATGCCGAGAACGGGCAGCCGAGGCTGGCGTTCGATCTTTTTCGGCAGATGCAGCAGCAAAGCTCCGTGAGGCCGAACAGGGTCACGTATCTCACGCTCGCCAACGCGTGCTCGGAGAAGGCAGCGCTTCCAGACGCGAGATTTCTCCACGCGAAGATCAGCTCCGAGAAGATCGACGACCCCGTCACTGTCAGCGCGGTTGTCTCCATGTACGGGAGGTGTGGGAGCGTCGGAGACGCGAGACAAGCTTTCAAGCAGCTCAAGCACAAGTGCGCGGTGGCCTGGAACTCGATCATCGCGGTGCACACCCAGAACGGCGACGCCGATGAATCGCTGGAGCTGCTGGGCCGGATGCTGCTGGATGGATCCAAGCCGGACAGGGTGACTTTCATCAGCGTTCTCTCGATGTGTAGCCACGCCGGTTTGGTGAAGCAAGGCTGCGAGATCTTTACGTCGATCCGGGATGATCACAGGCTTGAGCCGGCGATGGAGCACTACAGCTGCGTCACGGACATGCTGGGACGAGCAGGGTGGCTGGAGGAGGCCGAGAACTTTGTGAAGAAGATGGGCTTGGAGCCCGACGATGGGATCTGGGCGTGCTTGCTTGGAGCGTGTAAAATGTATGGCGATGTCGAGAGGAGCGAGAGGATCGCAAGGAAAGTTTTGGAGCTCCAGCCTCATAACAGCGAGGCTTACATTGTGCTGTGTAATAGCTTGAAAGATTCGTTGAATATGCCTTAATATTGTGGTTTTTGGCAAGATCACCATTGTCGATCTTAAACATGTAATAATAAAAAGAGAAATTTTACAAAATTAGTAGCGCCAACCCAAAAGGGTTTATGGCCGAGGGAAGAGGCAGGCTCACCAGAGCTGCTGGGTGACGACTACACCGAGTTCAGGCCTGCCGATTATGATCACTACCGGGACTACCTCAGAAATATCCCCGCACTCCACTCTTTCTCACAGGAACTGCCCATGCCGCGGGATTCAGGGCTGGTACGCTCTTCTTCTTTACATGTTTTGTTACAGTTGTGAGTTTTGTGGGTGTGAGTTTTGCAGCTTGATCTTGTTCGAGCGATCAGAAGTATGGCTACAGCGAGGAGTCAAATCCTTGTTTCGACTTCCTCAAATTTGCAATCTGCCAGGCCGAAAAAAATCTGTTTCTTGGCCTGCCCGACGGCCCGAGCCTGCAAGAGAGTGTGAGAAGAGTCGCCACGAACAAGGAACTGGATAAGTACAACGTGCATGGCTTTGGCAACATTTACTTGGAGAGTTTTGGTATCAGTTTCTCAGGTTCTCTTCTAACTTTGATTACCATAGCTGACAGTGCTGAAGGCGGGGGCAGGGACGCAATGCCAACAGACAAATTCGCCGGCGAGAGTACGATAGGCTATCTCGAGGACGTGGTGGTCAGAGCAGAGCTGGTGGCTGATTCCAGAGGACTTCCCAAATTTGAGGTGCCACATACACGTTCGCTGCTTCAAGCTCAGTGTAAACTCGGTCGTAGGCCTCTTTGTCCTGTGTATGCTCAATGAAATGGTGCCAGATCCGGTACATCGTAAGCTGCGGGTGTCGTAGTCAACAGGAGCCGAGGGCGATACGATTGTTGTGGAATCATTCAGTTGCAGCCTGCTTGTTGTGCAGGGCCGATTGGAAGAAGGTCGAGGCGCCTTTTGACACTGAGAGTCTGGTACCTGTATATTTGTCGCAGCTTCAAATTTGATGCTACTTCTGGGGTCTTGGAAGCGAGAGTTGCTGTGGATGAGCCGGCCGGACTGATCACGATCACAGTTCCAAAATTTGATTCACCTGTTGTTACTCTGTTTTTAACAGAACTTTTCTCAGCCATGTCATTGTAAGGTTAAGGTAGGAATGTGGAAGACATGGCTGAGCTTCGCTGGCCGGCCAGGAGTTTCCAGCAGGAGGGATTTGCACAAACGGGGAGCCAAGTCAACGAAAAGCCCACCGTTGACTAGAATATTCTTAGAGTATTTTTGTTATACCAAAGAATATCCTGTCAAAGTTTTCTAATGAACAGTAAATTAAATTCAGGAGTTAAACCCTAAACCTCTATTAATTATTAATTTATTTCTCAATCAATTAATAAATTGCTACGCGTTGCATGTAACAACACTTGGTTTGCTTAATTATTTTTATCAAATGAAGTTTATAATTATAAGCATGTATATAAATTTATAAAAGTTAATCTTAAATTTATAAACACAAGATTAACTTTATTACATATCAACCATTAGATGATAGAATAAAAAAGAATATACTAAAAAGGGTTTAACAAAGTTTATAGATTATAAACATGTTTATAAATTATAAATACAAGATTATCTAAATAAAAAAACAACTGTTAGATGGTAGAAAATTCTAAAATACCCAAACATATTTTAGGTATATTCACTACCCTAAGCAAATCAATTTTTTTTTAATAATATAAAATTCTTTTTTCTACCCAAGAGATAACTTATTAAATATGAAATAGAACAATCTCTACATTCTATAAATGCAAATAATTAACAGATCTGAACACTTTTTACAAATAATTTATAAAATAAGTGTGTCAATATAATACATAACGAGACAAAAATGATCACAGGCTCCAGCCAGCAATGGAGTGGCTGGAGGAGGCCAAGAATGTTGTGAAGAAGATGGGCTTGGAGCCCGACGATGCTTGGAGCGTGTAGAATGGCGATGTCGAGAGGAGCGAGCGGATTTTGGAGCTCCAGCCTCGTATAGCTTGAAAGATTCGTTTAATATGCCTTACTACTATTTTCTCTTTAGGGCTTTTGAAAGCTCCGGCGAGGCGACGCGATGGTGCCCGCCCGGGCGCCGATGCTCCTAGATGTTTGCTGCAGTAGAATGGCGGCGATCCTCAGCGAAGGTGAGATGGATTATTTGCGGCGAGAGAGGACATTTGATTTGATCGATCAATCAGATTTTAGCGCGCAGGCGCAGACGCTGGATTTGCCTCTCGACTTGCTGTGCAAGATTTTGCTGGAGCTGCCTCCCCTGCCGCTGCATTATTTGGAGCAATGTGCCTCGGGGTAAGGATTCTACTGGCAGTTCTTTGATTTTTTTTTCGTTGTTCCCAGACAGTACGAGGAAGGCTTCTCGCTGGCATGGAAAAGTTTGGCTGAATGCCATCACAATACTTTGCTCAAGCACGGTACCTGGAAGGATGCTTACTGGGAAGCTCACGTCCAAGCGTAAGGAAAAATGACTTGTTTGGTCTCTCCTGTTTACTCATCGCTTTGTATTTAGCTGCCTCAATGCTGTAACGACTAAGCTCGCTGCTCCAAATTTCGATGGCCAGATAGGAGATCTTCTTGTACCAGGTATCAGTTTCTGGTGTCAAGCTTTTTTATGTTTGTGGATTAGTTTTGAGTTGCCTGTAGAAATTCAGAGGCTTTGGTGTACAGGATTGGTGCGAGGAATGCTGCCTGCTGCGAGGACAGCGATTTCACGTCCTTGAAAAACACGATACCTCTACTTTCGAGATATGTGAAGTAAGTAGTTTTCCGCTCACAAAAGTTCATTCTTGTTTAACATTGACTTTTGAAAGGTCCTTACGCTTACGGAGCGTTCTATGTTCCAGCGAACTACTGGTAAAAATCTCTTGTTTGTTTTCAACTTTATTGATGTTTCTCTGCTTGACAGAGTCTATTTGATTCAGCCGAACTAGCGAGCCTTTCGTTCTTGAACATCAAAACATCTACACAGGTTTGTGTATTCAGGAAAGAAAATGCTCTACTTTATTTCCTTCGTGCAGTTCGGTCTTATAATTAACCTTCTAGCTCGTAACGTCAGAGCTCTTCGACGGCTTGAGTTTCATTACTGCAAGTTTTTTGAACAAGATTTCAACACTTTACTGGGCATGCTAAAATCAGCTGATGTTTTGAGTGATTTCGCCATCACTTGCTCAAGCATTCAGGTTCCGTGGGCGTCGTTGGAAATGCAACAGTTTTTAAGAAGTTGCAGGCAAGCTTATTACCTCTTTCTTTACTTAGTGATCATTGGAAAATGTTGTCTTACAGGTCTCTAGCATGCGTGCATCTCGTCAGCAATAGAATGCACACGCAATTTACAAGCTCTATCGTAGTCGAGCTGTTCTCCCTCTCTTCGCTTGATACCCTTGATTTTGCAGACAATCTGGTAATAGCTTCTTTGATTAGTATGTTTTCTTCTCTAACGTCTTTCTGGCAGCTAGAAAGCTGTTTTGAATCTCCCACAGTCAACCAGTTTTTTATCAACTGTGCGGTTAAGCAACTCCCATTCACACCTGGACTTAAGGTTCTCAACCTGAAGTAAGAAAAAGAGTTTCAAAGGTGCATGATAGGTTCTAACCGCTTTACTTCGTACAGATCTTGTTTCTTGAGTTCTGCGTGTGTTCAGAACCTTGTTCATTACTTGAAATGTCTACCACACCTGCACACTTTAAACTTGAGCGACAATCCAGTGGCCGATGAGGGTATCAAGTAAGCTATTCAAGTATTTTGTATGTTCTCTTGCACATTTAGATCTTTTCGATACAGGTCTGTTGCTTGCTGCTTACAGACAAGTCTCTCTGCACTTATGGAACTGAACGTCGCTGGCTGTGAATTAAGCTGGAACGGGCTATCTTCACTTTTGGATTCCTTGGTTTCAACCAATCACAGGTTGCGTTCCTTGTCCGTTGCAGATAACAGTTTTGGTAGGAGTGGCTCTGCGGTTCTTGCAAAATATCTTCAGAAAAGTGCCGTGAAAGAGCTTGATATTTCTGAGATTGGACTTGGTTCCCTGGGCTGCTCTTCGGAGCTAGCATCAGCTTTAATTCAGAACCAGACACTGGAACATCTGAACATAAGGTGGGATTTCCTAAACGAAACCATTATGTTATTAACCTTTGCGGTTTTCATCTCAGCAAAAACAGGATTGCTTTTCCTGGAGCAGAATTATTACATGCAGTCATCTCCAAAGGTCAGGGTGTACTTACAGACATCAATGCGAGCTTCAATCTTCTCAACGTTGAGGCTATGAAGCGTCTTGCTTCTGCGCTGCAGACGAAGGCAGCCCTTGGTGGTACTTTTGACATCTTTTTCTTTTATGGATCCATCTCACATTCTTCCGGCTGCAGGGAGGATGAAGCGACTCGACTTGCTAGGAAATCCCGGAATCCCGCCTCCAGGCGCCAACTTGTTTGGCTCGTTCTCTGAAGGACCTGACGCCATTGTGCTTCTTTCGAGCTCCCAGTTTTATGTTCCACTGCACGACGATGATCCTTGAATTCTGCATATGGACACGCTGGTTTTAGCATCTTGGCCGGCAAGGCTCAAAGGTAATGACGCCCGACAAAGCAGAGCAGCGGCTGCCAGGATTGCTAGCTCGGAAATCGAGGCAACTATAAACAACAAATTGGGATTGGTGGAAAATCTAGCAGAGGCAGTAAATCAGCTATACAGCGGCGCTACAGTAACAGATCCCGGGGTTTACGTGGAGCTGTTGAAATGGTCCGGCAGGGAACGGAATTTAGACGAAGGAAAGCGTGTTCACTCCCACATCATGCAAACTGGATACGAAGGGGATCGTATGGTGATGAACTTGGTGGTGGAGATGTACGGGAAGTGTGGGGATGTGGAGCAAGCGGGAAACGTCTTCGATAGTATACAGGATCCCAACGTGTTTTCCTGGACCATCATCATCGCTGCGTATGCCCAGAATGGTCATTGCATGGAGAGCTTGAGGCTTCTTTCGAGGATGAACCAGGCGGGTGTCAAACCAGATGGTTATACGTTTACAACGGTTCTAGGAGCATGCACGGCCGTTGGGGCACTCGAAGAGGCCAAGATTCTTCATGCAGCTACGATCTCGAGCACCGGCCTGGACAGGGACGCTGCAGTCGGCACTGCTCTCATAAATCTCTATGGGAAGTGTGGAGCACTCGAGGAGGCTTTTGGAGTTTTCGTCCAGATCGATAACAAGGATATCGTCAGCTGGAGCTCCATGATAGCAGCATTCGCTCAGAGCGGGCAAGCCAAGTCCGCGATCCAGCTCTTGATGCTCATGGACTTGGAAGGTGTCCGTCCCAACAACGTCACCTTTGTCAATGTCCTGGAGGCTGTCACGAGCTTGAAAGCCTTCCAATATGGCAAAGAGATCCACGCCCGTATCGTCCAAGCCGGTTACAGTGACGACGTCTGCCTCACAAGTGCGCTGGTGAAGATGTACTGCAACTGGGGCTGGGTCGAGACTGCAAGGTCCATCTTTGAGAACTCCCGTGAAAGAGACGTTGTGTCCTGGAGCTCGATGATAGCAGGCTACTCTCAGAACGAGTCGCCCGCAAGAGCACTGTCACTGTTCCGCGAGATGGAGGTTGACGGTGTCCAGCCAAACTCTGTCACTTTTGTGAGCGCCATCGATGCCTGTGCCGGGGTTGGAGCTCTCCGACGAGGAACGCAGCTCCACGAGCGAGTCCGGTGCCTGGGCCTGGACAAAGACGTCCCCGTTGCGACCGCTCTCGTCAACTTGTATGGGAAGTGCGGCAGGCTGGAAGAGGCCGAGGCCGTGTTTCTGGGGATGAAGAAGAAGAACTTGCTCACTTGGACGTCGATAGCAATGGCCTATGCTCAGAACGGGCATGGAAGCCGGTCACTCAAGCTCTTGCACGGGATGGAGCTTCAAGGCATGAAACCCGACGGGATAGTGTTCGTGGCCATCCTTGTCTCGTGTAACTACGCCGGGCAGATGAGCAAGGGACTCTACTACTACAAGCTGATGACCCAAGACTTCGGCATTGCTCCAGCGGTGGAGCACTGCGGCTGCATGGTTGATATCCTGGGACGAGCAGGGAAGCTGGAGGCGGCGGAGCAGCTGATAAACACTATGAAGTTCGAGTCGAGCCTGGCGTGGATGATGCTTCTCACCGCTTGCAAGGCGCACAACGATACCGCTCGAGCCGCCCGTGCCGCAGAGAAGATCTTCCAGCTGGAGCCCAAGAACGCGACGCCTTACGTCCTTCTCTCGAGCGTCTTCTGCGCCGCTGGGAGCTGGGAGGCCGCTGAGGAGACGAGGAGGAGGATGGATGGCCGGGGGGTGCAAAGGCTACTGGGGAGGAGCTCGATCGAGATCGGGGACAGGGTGCACGAGTTTGTAGCGGCCAGCGATGTGCTGCCTCACCACTTGGTCGGGGAGATCTTCGCGGCCTTGGAGAAGCTAGGCAGGGAGATGCAAGGCGCTGGCTACGTCCCGGATGCTACTGCGGTGCGCTTGCGGGATGTGGAGGAGGGTGGGAAGGAGAACGCGGTGCCATACCATAGCGAGATGCTGGCGCTGGGACTGGGGATCGTCTCCACGCCCGCTGGAACGCCGCTCCGGATCACCAAGAACTTGAGGATGTGCTCCGACTGCCATATCGCCACCAAGTTTGTGTCCAAGCTCGTCCACCGGCGTATCAGCGTGAGAGATGGAAGGCGCCACCACCACTTTGAGAATGGAGTTTGCTCGTGCGGGGATTACTGGTAGAATGGCAAGAATCTCGGGTGTGGAGACTAACGTTTATGTATGGCCTGATACGTTGACCTTATTTGACTTTCTTGACTTTGCATTTGACGTGGCGTATAACACGTGGCATTTTAGTGACGGGGCAAGTACGTGGCTGTCACGTCACTACCATTCAAATTGCGGATAATGGAACATTTGGAGCTAGGGCTCTTTCTTGCTCGATGACGGCCCCGGCGCTGGCGGCATCTCAATGGCGCTGTTTCGCGTGTGGATCTAAGCTCGGCGCGGCAAATGCGGAGTTTGTATCGGTAAGGTGTCGGCACGAGTGTATGAAAATCTTCGTCATGGGGTTCCTCTTCCCAGCCGCAATTCCTGAGGCTCTCGGCGGCGCCCAGGAGGTGGATTTCGATCAAGAAGAGCTGCGGGCGTGGGGGATTGGCGATTCGTGCGGCCGTTTTTGATCAGCTCTCGACGAGCTTGGAGAAAGTATGGACAAAGCTCCAAGGAGAAGGTGATATGATAGAGGAAAACGCTCTTCCTTATTCTGACACTGTGTGTTCGTCTTATAGAAACGCTAACCAGCGAGAATATGAAAGAGCCATTGCAGGATATCCGTCGAGCCCTGCTCGAAGCAGATGTAAGTAGCTCAAGGAAACTTTAGGCATTCTTGCTTCTTTCTTTTGCTAGGTGAGCTTGCCAGTGGTTCGAAAACTCGTGGGCTCTATCGCGGAGAAAGCTGTTGGCACAGGCGTTATACGTGGAGTGAGGCCGGACCAGCAGCTTGTCAAGGTATGTGGCTCACTTTGATTCCAATTAGTTTTCCTACTTGAAGAAGTTCCAGGATGCAGGTTGTGTATGACGAGCTCATATCTCTCATGGGTGGCCAAGCGGCACACATTGAGTTTTCTGGAACGCCTCCCACCGTGATTCTTATGGCTGGGCTTCAAGGTGTGGGAAAAACCACCGCTTGCGGGAAACTGGCGCTTTACATGAAGAAAAAGGTACTACGCAATGTCTGCGTCTGGTTTGTAGATAAGATTTTTTCTTCAGGGAAAGAGCTGCATGCTTGTGGCTACAGACATTTACAGGCCTGCTGCAATTGAGCAACTGATCACTCTAGGAAAACAGGTGATTATTCTATAGTAGTCTGAAATGGAAGTCTTACTTCTGTGGGAACAGGTTGAGGTTCCTGTGTTCGAGGCAGGGACTGAGCTAAGTCCTGTAGAGATTGCGAAAAGAGGTCTGAAAGAAGCAAAGGAGAAAGGAACAGACGTTCTTATTGTGGATACTGCTGGACGCCTTCAGGTATTGTCTGTTTTTCAAAATCTCGTGTCTCACAGTTTACATCGTCTGCCAGGTTGATGCCACAATGATGGACGAACTAAAGCAAATGAAAAAAGTCCTTAATCCAAACGAGGTGCTACTGGTTGTCGATGCCATGACGGGCCAGGAGGCTGCTGGTGAGTATCTTCAGTTCAGTAAGCTCATGCAAATCCTGAGTTATTTCTTGCCGTTTTCCAGCTCTGGTATCTGCTTTCAATTTGGAAGTGGGAATCACTGGAGCTATAATGACAAAGGTCGATGGGGATTCGAGGGGTGGAGCCGCGTTAAGCGTGCGAGAGGTAAGCTTAACGTTTATAAACAAGTGAGCTATCTGGTTGATAACTTGCATTGGTAACCAGGTTTCTGGAAAGCCCATCAAATTCGTTGGAGAAGGTGAGGGTATGAACGCTCTGGAGCTCTTTTATCCCGATCGTATGGCTAGTCGAATTCTGGGCATGGGAGATGTACTGTCGTTTGTAGAGAAGGCCCAAGAATCGGTACGAGAGATCAGTTTTACAGTGATTTTTTCTAACGGTTTTTTGTTTTGATCAGATGGTGAAAGAAGATGCCGAAGATATGCAAAAGAAGATTATGGAAGCCAAATACGATTTCAATGACTACTTGAAACAGCTGAACGCACTAGCCCGTATGGGATCAATGGGGGGAGTTTTGAAACTCATACCTGGGATGAACAAGGTGGACACCAACTATTTCTCACCATTTTCTGCTGTCTAACGTTTGGGTTAAACAGGTCACTCCACAGCAAATCCGTGAAGCTGAAAGGAGCTTGAGTATAGCAGAAGCAATGATAAACGCCATGACTCCTGGTAAGACCATGCCTGCTGTTCTCTCGTTCTCAGTCATTGTTTCTGCAGAGGAAAGAGAAGATCCAGAGCTTCTTGCCAAGTCGCCCGTTAGAAGAAAAAGAGTTGCCACGGAATCTGGTAGAACGGAAGCACAGGTAAACTGAAAATCTAGTTTTCAGCAGATATCTGTACAGTGTCGCGATTTTCGCAGGTTGGCCAGCTTATATCTCAACTATACCAAATGCGTGCTCAAATGAAGAACTTGGCAGCAAAAATGCAGGACGGAAAGATGCCAGGACTGGAAGACCTCGAGGAGCTAAGCAAAGGAGCGAAGGTAAGAAGGACATGGCATCCATATCTTTACTATGAGCTCTAACACATGGCTTGGATTGTAGCTTCCACCCGGCACAGCAAGAAGGAAGAAAGGCAAATCCGAGCTCCAGAAGCAATTGTCTGCCATTGGAAATAAGCAGTCGGCTCCCAAGGGATTTGGATCGAAAAACTAGTCAACACTCAACTAGGACAAAGTAAGAACTGGAAGCATTACTTTGTAGAGTCTTATCACTATTAACCAGAATTACTTTGTATGATGGAGGTATAGGTCAGTGGTAGAGCAATCGGCTGCAGTCCGATAGGTCACTAGTTCGATCCTGGTTGCCTCCTGGAGTGAAAAGATTTTTTTTGCGGAATGGCCATGGAACTTGTCGTGCTTCTAGTGGGCGATGAAGAGATTTTCAGGTAATTCGTCTCTAGATTTTGGGTGTCACACCTCTATTGCAGATTTTGCAGGCATTGGCATTCGAGGATGAACTTGTTCGTTCTTGATGGAATGGAAGTGGACGAAGGCGGTAGCTCACAAACTCACCCCCAAGGTAGAAAAAACCAATAACGTCAAGATTGCTTCCTCATTTTCTTTTCAGGAAAAATTCCATCTAAGCTGGAAGAGGAGCAACAACAATGACGATGCAGCCCAGGATCCAGCACAGCAACACCAACTCAAGCTCCAGGGAGAATTCCATCGCTGCCTACGAAGAACTCAAGCAGCGGGGTGTGAGACCGAGCATCGGGGTGGTGCTGGAAGCTCTCAAGCAATGCAAGAACAGCAGGGACATAGAAACCGGCAGAAGAATTCACAGGGACGCCCTCGTCACCGGCGACTACTCCAACATCTTCGTGAGGAACGTCTTGAGCGACATGTATTGCAAGTGTGGGAGCCTGCCGGATGCTCGTCAAGTCTTCGAGAGCATGGAGTACCGCGACGTGGTGTCCTGGAACTCCATCATCCTTGGCTACGCCCAAGCCGGAGACTCCAGCACCGCTCTAAAGCTCTTCTCGCGGATGCAGAACGAGGCCACTTGCAAGCCAAACTCGGTCACGCTTCTCGCCGCTCTGAAGGCCTGCTCGAAGCTGGCGGAGCGAGCACAGCACGAATGCTTAGACAAAGTGAGATCGATCCACTCGGTCGCTCTCCATCGGATCGAGAAAAAGAAAGAGGAGAACGAGCTGGAGCTCTTTCTCGCCAGCAACTTGGTCCATATGTATGCTAGATGCGGCAGTATGGTGGAAGCTCGCGGCGTGTTTGACAGCATGAAGAGACACGACGTGGTTTCCTGGACAGCGATCATCCTGGGATACGCTCACGCCGGCAACGCAAAGTTGGCTCTGGAGTTTTTCGAGCTCATGCAAGCTCGGGGCTTTCTCCCGGATCGTGTCACGGTTCTCGCTGCGCTCAAGGCCTGCGCTGTTCTAGCTGAGAAGGAGGAAGCCAGGCTGCTGGGTGGAAGATTTGTCAAGCTCGAGTGCCTGGAACGGGGACGAGCTCTCCACCTGCAGATCACTCGAGCTCATGGAATGGATTGGAAAGACACGGTCTTGGCGACTGCGCTGGTGGACATGTACGCCAAGTGTGGCAGCCTGGTGGAAGCTCGAGAGGTCTTCGATGGAATGAAGCAGCACGACGTGGTTTCGTGGACTGCGATGATATCCGGCTACGCTCAAGGTGGCGATGGCGAGCTGGCTCTCGGGTTCTTCTCCCGGATGAAGGAGCACGGCTGCGTTCCAGATGCCGTCACCTTTGTGGCTGCGCTGCAAGCCTGTGGAAGCCTGGCGGCGCTGGAGAGTGGAAGAGAGATCGAGGCTCAAGTCAGGGGTGCTGGACTGGAAACCAATCTCGTCGTCGCGAATGCGCTGGTCGATTTCTACGGGAAGTGTGGCTGCATGGAGGACGCTCGGGAGGTGTTTGAGCTAATCCGGCGAAAGGATCTGGTATCGTGGAGCTCACTCGTGACGGGATACAGCAGCCAGGGCGACACAAGAAGCGTGTTTGAGCTCCTCGAGAGGATGGAGAGGGAGGAGAGACACTTGCAGCCGGACGAGATCATGCTCCTGTCGATCCTCACGGCTTGCAACCACGCGGGTCTCGTCGAGCAAGGCAAGAGATACTTCTCGTCTCTACGATCGCCGACTGTTCAGCACTACACCTGCATGATCGATCTCCTCGGACGAGCGAACCATCTCGACAGTGCTGTGGCGTTGCTGCGATCCATGCCTTTTCCTCCCAACGAAGTCACCTGGACAACACTGCTGAGCTCCGCTCGAAAGTGGAAGAACGTCGGAGTTGGACGCATGGCCTTCGAGGCCCTCGTGAAGCTGGACGATACAAACTCCTCAGCCTACATTCTCATGTCGAGCATCTACGCAAGCGTCGGCAACTGGGACGAGGCCGCCAGAGTCCGAGCTTTGAGGATCAAAGCCGGGGCCTGGAAGAGGGAGCCCGGATTGAGCTCCTGGACTGACAGCTCCACTGGAAGAGTACACAAGTTCTCGGCCGGGGACGCCAAGCACCATCCACAGGGCGAAGAGATCCACTTCAAGCTCGATCATCTCTTGTCCAGGATGAAGCTCCAGGCCGGTTATGTTCCCCGCCTCTCGAGCGTTCTAGCAAACGTGCCCGACGAGGAGAAGGAGTGGGCTCTTTGCGGGCACAGCGAGAAGCTGGCCATAGCCTGTGCTCTCGTCAACTCAGCTCCAGGGACGGCCATTCGCATTGTCAAGAACCTGCGGGTGTGTGATGACTGTCATGAGGCTACTGCTTTGATCTCCAGGCTCGAGGGGAGGACCATCGTTTGCAGGGATGCTGTTCGTTTCCACAGGTTCGTGGATGGAAGTTGCTCGTGTGGAGGCTTCTGGTGATATTGAATCTTATTTCCTTGTTTTTAGAATACACATGCTATTATCTTTGAACAAAATCCTTAATACGATAGTCCAATTAATTAAATCTTGTACAGATACCCATTCGAGGATGACTCTCATGATTTGTCGGTCCTGGTAGAAAGAAAAACCAAACAACCTTCGTAAATTGACGAATCGAGAGAGATACCGTCACGGTGAGCCTCAGTAATGCATCAATCTAGTTTTCGCTGCTCATAACGAAAGAGAAATAGCTCGTCTTGCGCCTGTGTTCATTCTTTGGGCAGCTGCTAGCTTGTGCACTTTCTCAGCTTCAAATATCTCAGAGTCAATCAGATCCACCACTTGTGGAACTTCGGCGTCGTCTGCTTCATTCGAGACTGTCCCGAGCCACCACTGACCTTTCTTTTGAGGACCGAGTAGCTTCTTCCAGGGTATGGAACGCAGTTGTATGTCCTCGACTTTTAGCTAGTAACAAAGCTACTAAAATGCAAGTAAAGCGAATGTGATACACACACACCTTTTGAAGCCACTTCTTCATCCTTGGATGACGAGCATTGTTTTAAACTTCGAAAAATCCCCTCGAGTATAAAGTCCACCTACAGGAGTTCCGTGCGTGTGTACAAACAAAAATAAAATTAAAAAAACGTTTTGACAATTGCTTACTCGTTTCGGCATTTCAGCTCCATGCTGCATGCCACCGGTTCGAGCTCGGTTTGCCACCCACGGTCGTGGAATAAATCCGACGTGCGTTCTTGAACAGCAAGAATGAACTCTTTCATCGATGGGCATCTATTTCCTGGAATCGTTTGCAGAGGAGGTGCAAAAGTATACCAGCTCGCTGTTTCATTCAAGAACAAATGTGTTAAACCGAAAAAGAAAGACCACAAGCGCACCTTGTAATCAATCCCAAGCTGTAGAGCGAAGAATCAAGAAGCGTAAGGTTGCGAACAGCTAGACCTTTTCATATTGTCTCTGCAGTAAAACGTAAACATAAGAACCGAAAAATCAGCGCGTCGTCCCATTTGAAAAACGCCTCCAGGAGTTTCACCTCAAAGCCCCGCCATAAAATTAGCACCGAAATCCATCCCGACGAGACAAGCGATGCCAGAGATGCTCGCTGCAAAGACTGCTTCGTAAATTTATCCATGAAACTATAATATGTGAGGACAGAGAGCAGCGTGAGAGAAGCATTACTGTGCTCACTGCTCGTTACCACGGGGACCACTGGAGCAAGACTTCAAGACATGATCAGTGATCGTCTCGGTCATGAAGCTCCTGCTATAAAATCACCCCACGTAGAAACAACAGGGCTTTCAAGTGCGTTTTACCTGGAAGAACTCGGCAATCTCCTATGTTAGTTGAAGCAAGGAACTAAGCAAAGAGAGGGAGGAAAAAAACGGCCTCTCCCATGAGAACGTACCTTTGATTCTTCTTTTGACGCGAACTTCATCCTCGGAAGGATCTCGCTTTCGCTGGTGAGGAGGAACGTATTTAGCACTTGAGGTTTGCTCCGGCTCACCCTCCAATTCAACTAGATTGCTCACCGGACTCGCGCCATCGGAATCCTCATCCTTGCCCCTAGAGTTCCACGAGCATCAAGCTAGAGCACATAGATCCTGCATGATAAATAGAGGAAGCTTACCAAGCCATTTGGAAGGCATGGAAAATCATCCATGGGAAATCCACATAGCCTTGACATCGACTGAGGAAGATAGATCTCGCCTGTTTTCTGCCATGCGGTCGAGCGTCACTTTGGAAACACTAGGCAGATTCCGCAATCGTAATAGGATCGCTCGACGAAACAAATTTTAAAAGCGATTGCTACCTGGTAAACGTAGCCTCGAGTGATGGTGTCAGGGAAAACACCATCGCGAAGCGAAGGAATGAAGCTGCAGCCAAAAAGTAAAATAAAATAAAATAAAAAATAAATCAAAGCAAATATCAAAGCTTAGCTTACGAGCCCTGCGAGATAAGTTTTGAGTATTTCCTCTCTTGCACTGGCCTCCCCTGGTTTAGAAGAAAAAACTTGGAGAGAAAAAATATAGAAAAACAGAAAACCATATATTAACTAATTATAGCATCTACTTTCAATCCAAGTTTCTCCCGGAGACACTTGTTCTCCTTCTCCAGGATTTTCTTCTCGCTCTCCAGTGTCTGTTGCACACTCTCTTTAGAACAACAAAGAATAATATGACTAGACAAACCTTGAGCTTCTTCCTGATTTCAGCATCATCAAGGACGCGCTGCTTCTTCTCTTCCTCGAGCTCTCGCTTGTATTTGTTGCACTCCTCTAGCAGCCCATTCTGTACAAAAGCTAACTCCATTTCAAGCCGATGAACCTGTAACAATGCAAATCAGAGAGAGAAAGGGAGAGAGGGACGAGTACCGTTTCTTCCAGCTCCTGTGTTCGAGCAACCCCTACTTCTAGCTGTGCATTTCCGGCTTCCTCCAGCCTCTCCATTCTGAACGGGAGACTGAAAGTGAGTTTTGAAGGCAATACAATAAAATAAAATAAAATAAAATAAAAAATTCACAAACCGGGTAGCTAAAACGTTCGTCTCTTCCTCTAGCTCCCTCAGCTGATGATCCGTTGGTTCGACCTGTTCCTCAGCTTCAAAGTCATCGAGTATCAGAGAGTCCTTTGCTGTCGCTACTGGTACTACAGCTACAGCAGATTCCTTAGATTTGGATGGGACATGGGGAACTGGCTTTGGTTTTGATGGGATTGTTTCCTTTGGCTTCGCAAACTGCATATTACTAAGTTAATGCTGCTCATGAGATTTGCACCACATACCCGGCTTCCAACGTCCACTTCATCGACAGCATTTGGATCCCTGAAGGCCTTCTTTGCCTGTATCTTGGCCTTTCGAGGAAAAGCTTCTTTCACTGGCCTCTCATCTTCATCGTCTGAAACTTCCGAGGATGATGATGAGCATCTTCTAGAACTCCTGATGGCTTTGTCTAAAACGAAGAAACATCATTCTGGTGCTGAAGGTAAAAAGTCCTACCTTGGAGACGATCAGCTCTCCGTGGTCGATATAAAATCTCGTCCTCATGCATCGTCTTCCTTTTCTTGGTAGCAGAACCAGTAGCAGGAGGTCCCTGATATCCCACCTTCTGGCAGTTGTTATTCCTGCATAGAAAACCATTAAGAACAAACGGCAACAAGGGGAGTGCTAACCAGAATTTCTTCTGCATAAGTTGCAGCCGATGCTCAAGTCGTTGAAGAACGGGTGTCCTTTCAAATCCTTGTTTGTCATGAGCAGGTTCCACAAAATTTGCCTCCAAAACTCCTAAACCACCAGAAAAAAAATGTAAGAGACCAAAATAAAAGCTGCAAAACTCACCAATGACACCTCGTCCTTGACTGCTCGACGAATTCCATATTCTCCAGAATGGCTGTTACAGATCGAATGAGAAAAGAAGCTAACGAGCCATTGGCTACCTTTATAAGCCGATTTTTGTGATAGACATTGAATCCTTGCACATCTATGTGTTCACGGGCATCCTTTAGAAAACCGAGGTGTACTTTTGCAGACATCTGCACCCAAAAGGCGCATGATTTCAAAGGGAAACAAAAAGAAAACAGATGCCTACGTTTACCCCGTTTTGTCCATCCTTTTGAGGCTTGTAAACAAGCTCCTCAATGTGCATTACGTCGCTCAGGATATTATGGTGTTTGATCTCCTGGTTTCGAAGGGTGATCTTGAAGTTCTTTGGCAGATGCAAGTACAAAATCGAAGCATATATCTGCAAAACCAAATGGATGAATTTATGACAGCAAAACACATGTTCTTTCTCACCCTGAGAGAATTTTGGTACAAAAAGAAGTGCTTCGCACTGGGATATTTTTCCGCCATATCACGTTGAGAATCATCACGGCCGCCCCTAATTTGAATGTCCTTGAAGGAGGTCAGTGAAGTAAACCAAAAACAATTTCAAAGCATACTTGAGGATCTGATTCAAAGTCTAGTTCCAGCCGCTGCTGCTCATCCTCCCAGAGATTGTAGATAATGATTCTAGTACCTTGGCCCTTAATTTTCTTGAACTGGCATCACAGAGAGACACATAACTTAAGATTGGATGTAGATCCAGAGTGCTTACTTGGCTGCGAATCGATTCTTCAGACTGATAAGGACTCCATTTCGTGATCGCGTCCATGCGATATTTCCAATCCTGATGTGTGCCTCGTTGGACCTCTTTCAGCTCACCCCCGTGCTCTTCGTAATCCAGCTGCAACCAAGAACAAGGTGAATTCACACCCCAGAGAATTTCTCTATTAAGAGTACCGTAGGAACTATGATGTCCTGCTGCATTGTGTCACGCAGGAAACTGTAGGAGAGGAACCCGACACTCCGTGTAGGCCTGTATCAAACGTAAAGAAGAATGGGAAATGGGAAATACTTTGGCAACCAACTTTTATACCTGCCGCCTCTCTTTGCATTCGATTTCGAAAAAACGATGACATCAGCACCCAGGCGCATGGTACTCGTCTTAAAACCGTTTCCATCTGAATAGATTTCCAAACTGAGATGGAGAAAGAGAAAACGAAATAGAGCACATACATTGTCCAATCATGTTAGCGGCTTTATCCTTCGCAGAGTACCCAAAGGACATGCATTCTCGCAAACGCTCCTGGGTCATTCCTCCGCCGTTATCTGGATCAACAAACAAAGCGTTGCTGCAAGAAGAAAACACAGCTAGAAAACATCTTGCGAACCTTCAAAGAGAAGCATCGGCGAGCCATCAACCGGATTCTTGAGAACGTTGATGTTGACAAACGTCGCTCCATTTTGAGCCTCATCGAGCGCATTGTCCAGCAGCTCCGCTATGGCTGCGAACCGAGCAAGAGATCATAGATTAAAACACAAAGAAGAAAACTAGCAAGACTTTTCTAAGTACCGCCGAGAGCCCACTTGTGGCTTGTTGCATTGGAATGGAGGAACTTTGGATGCATGCGTACGTGATCCATGCTAGCTACACAGCAAAAGAGAAAGGATTGATCGCAAACAATCGAAACAATTACTACCTGGCATTGTTTGCGCGCCGGAACCGTCGTAATCTCCAGCCTTCCAAAACTGGCGACAGCGATTCGGCCGCGGGGCACTGACGACGGCGTCATCTTCCGGGGAGGCATCGTTCGCGTTGGGCAGAAAATCGAGAAAATCGGCGGGCATGTCCTCGATCTTCGGCTTCTTGCGCTGATCGTCGTCGCCTCCGATCCCGCCGGCTCCTCGTTTCCTCAAATCCGTAGCGATACCTGTGATCCGGCTGGGACCGGCGCCACCAGCATTGCGCTCTTCCTCCTCCTCCACCGCCATGCGATCGCCCGCAAACCCTATCGACGAGAATGGTTTTTATTCCCCTTATGTGGTTTTAAGGGTTTATGGCCTTGCCGAGATTTTTCGTGCGGCATTTCACTCTGGGCGGACGTGGGCGTTTCGCGCTGCCACTGGACGCTCGACCCATTGCTGGTATGTCGACGATCTTCTCATTCTTCCCTCGATCTCGAGTAATTCTCGAGCTTCTATAGAGGATTTTCAAAAGGGTCGCTCTACATGGCCTTGGGGGAGCTACAGCGTTGTTGGAGATCGCGTTCCAGTTGCTCCGATTGGTTTAAGCTGCGATCGGATCCTACATTGCGTATCGGAGAGTGACGAGGTTCTCTTTTTCTAATGTCTTGTTCTTAGTTTTTTTGAGAATCTTTCGTCCATGTTCTTAGTTTTTATGAGAATCTTTCGTCCAGGTATCAGTGGTCAGTGTCACAGCGACCAGTGTTGTCCGAGAAGCCCAACGTCGCTTTTCCACTGCCCGAGCGGTACGACCAGAGCCAAATTGTTATTCTCATTCCTTTCGTAGTTTTCATCCTTTCTTCTTCTTGTTCCAGGCAACTGTGATTCTCGGACAAGCTTTGATGGCAACACTTCTTCTCCACGCTATTGAAGCCGCTGCCGAGAATATAAAGGTGGCCATTTTGTTTGCTTGCTTGGCCTTTGTTTTCGTCTCCTTCTCATTCAAGTTCTAGATCACGATTGTTGGAAGCGGTGGACCACTTGGAGGAATCACAGCAATCGGCTCAAACACCGGGCTTGTCAAAGGCTATGTGGATTTCCCAAGGAGTGATTTTCCATGCCTTCCAAATGGCTTGGTAAGCTTCCTCTATTCGCAGTCTTGCTTATAATCGTCTCTTATGCTCCAGCTTGATGCGCGTGGAACTCTTGGCGAGCGTGGCAACTTAACAGTCACGCTCCACAATTCTTCGTGGAAGAGACTTAAAGTGTATGCTTCGTCTTTGCTTGTTCTTCTTTCTAAGTTTTTTCCTTCTAAACCACAGCTTTTTGACACCGGGGTTATAGGAGGCCTGTGCAACTCTCGAGAGGAAATATATCGAAAGGAGTCGAGACTTATCTTGCAGAAGCTCGTAAGGTGAGCTTTCACGTCACGAAAACAACTTGTTTTGCTTGTTCTCTTTTGATTTTGTTCTTGGCTGCAGCTTCATTCCTTTGCTTCGTTTGGTGTTTTCCTTGACAAGCAAGGAACCATCACTTGTGCTCGAGGCTACGTTTACCAGGTAGAGAACGCTCTTTAAAAAATTTAAAGCGATTCCAAAGCGTTTTACTTGAGTTCCAGGCTCTGCCCAGTGTTTCCAAAATGACGCTCGACCGGATGGCGAAAAACACGCGAGATCTTCCTAAGTGGAACATAAACGCTGACGAGATTTGCGAGCTCCTGTTCCAAGGAATTGGTCGTCGCAAGACCATCCGCACGGTGAGCGAGATCTTCTCAACTGTTTCTCTCCTCGTAAAACTTCTTACGGCTTGCAGATAAATCCTAGATTCGGTCCTTGCGGCCTAGAGATGAAACAGCGCATACTGGAGAACGAGATCTCTAGCAAGGGATTCTGGCAGATTCGACAGGCACTCAAGTCAAAAGGTGGTTTGTTTCTTTCGTTGTTTCTCGAATCACGGCGTTTAATCTTTGTAGGCTACATTGAGGCATTTTGTGACGCTTGCGGTGAAGAATACCGATTTACAGAGGATGAATTGGGAGAGCTGATTGGTAAAAGCATCAGCGACAGTGAAGAAGAAGAGTGAATCATAAAAGGTTTAGCTTGTCAATACGTTTTCTTCCAGATCTTTCTGTAAAGAATATGCTTTGGGAAAGAGATTCAAAGTCATAATCTAGTGGGAAAAAACCAGCGCTGAAAGCACCCAGGGCCTAACACTCCAGCGACGGAATACGAATAAAATTTCCTTTTATAAACGTAAGAATCACACCAGTTAAGATTCTCAAAGCGCTCCAGCTTTTCCTTTGATCTCAAGCCATCGCTTTGCAATCAGCCTCCTAAAAGAAAGAAGAAAGATGAAAGAAAAAAAAAACACTATAGCTTCGATTCGATGGACGACTCTCGATATCTCCATCACACGTCTTAAATGCCAACAGCTGGTTTCGAATCCGTGCTACACAGCGATCACCTTTTGATCCTGTCCAAAGTTCCAAAGTCCAATCCCCAGATGTAAACAACTCGGAAGAAAAAGCCCCCCATCCCATCCCATCCCATGCCATAGCCTCTTCGTCGTCTCGTCTCGTCGCGTCTCGTCACCAATGTGTGTCGCTTTCCTGTGGCACCACTGCCGTGGTGTGAAAAAGTCGTCCAAGCTCTCTCGTCCCCGCTAAAGCTGTCGACGAGAAATCGCCTCTCCATAAACGCCGTGCCGCATTTTGTCGTGTGATTCACTTCAGCCTGAGCTAATCCTTCGGACTTCCTCCACTGATCGTAGAAAACAAGTCACTGCCCTGTAGCGTGCTCTCCTGCCTCCACTTGTACTCGTAGCAAATGGCTACCTGGCAGCAGCAGCAGCAGCAGCATCATCCCTGGTCGCGCACGATATCCATTTGTTTTCTCCTCCCTATTAGCACCATCTATGTCGCCTGTTCCCGAGGCGTATAGCCAGCGCCGCCTTGATCCTGCTGTTGATAGCTTGGAACAATTCTTACTTAATCCCACAATCTGAGGAGGAGAGAGAGCGAGAGAAAAAAGAACCCCTGCGCTGCGCCTGCCTGCGACTGCCTGTGCACTCTATCCCATAAGAAAACCTGTTCTGCTTCCCCTGTTATCTAGCTGCCTCCGGCCTATATATCTGGAGCACGGGAGTAACACGCGACGGATGATCCGAATCCGGATTCCAGGAGAACTTACTTCCTCCTCCCCGAAGTTTGAATGGACGTAGCTTATAAGTAGTGTTGGATCATATCTTATCATCACCAAAGAATATGAGAACCACAGCAGTTTTCCCAATCGAAGCTTGTTAAGTACCTTGGTTTGTTTGTTTCTTTCGTGTAGCTCGTCAGCACGCACGGCGCGTACCTCTCCAACCCGAAACTGTACACAGGATTTTCCCCTCCCCTCCCCTCCTCTCCTTCTTTCGCTTTGGATCCTCGATCAGGTGAAGATGCGACGAAGTTGATTGCAGATCTTCTCCCTGAGCTGGCCAAGCGCTTTCGAAAGGCCGCACGGTATCCTTTGTCTCCGAAACCAGGAAGTTCGCTTCTTCTTCTTCGTGGCAATGGGAGGAGGAGGCGATGGCAAGCCCAAAGCAAAACTCGTCTCGCTCAGAGCCAAAACCTGTTGTGTGGAGGCCGCTGCGGAAGGACCAACCAGCTCAACGAAACAAGCGTTGCTGTTCCTTGTAAACATCTTCTCGGTCGTAGCACAGCCCGCATTGTCTTCAGCACGGGTCACGCTGCATGAAGCGAGCTCGAGCAGCGCTGCGTCCTCTTTGTCACCTTCCGCCACCGGATCCAAGCTCACGATGCCCGTTTCGGAGTGTAACGCAGGCTCCTCGTCGGCCTGCTTGACTTCCACAAGCTCCAGATGTTGGCACTCCTCTTCAATTAGCCTGTCAGCTTCCCCGGGATTGACTACGTCACAAAGGCTGGCGGCGGTGGCTTTCTCCAAACTGAAAGCACCGCCCTTGGAGGAGCACAAATCTTCCGGAGCCATCGCGATGCCGCCATCTTCGTGAGAGAAATCCGACTTTAAGCCTTCCTCCGCGATGTCACGCATGATATGGCTCTCGGACAGCCAAATCGTGTGGCCATGGATCTCTATTCCTTTCACCCAATCGCTCCATCTTCGACCCCCTCCGCCACCGCCGCCGAGCCGCATTGCCGGTCTTTGGGGCCGCCCCTGGCTTATAACAATGTACCTGTTCGCCGGCCTCTCGGGCGCCGCTACCACACTCCTGGAGCTCATGGACATCTTAAATTGGCGCTCCTCCCTTATCTTCTCGATCTGAGGCCCAATGCTGATGAGCGCGATCACGCACAGCGCCGTGGACATGAGCAGCGGCGTGAAGAAGAGGACGATGTGGAACAGGGGCGTGGTGAAGAGCAGGATGAGGAGCCCCGCGAGGATAGGGTGGCTCCACAGCAGCGACACGATCTCCAGCACCACGATAGCCATCTGCGAGCGAGCAAGAATGGAGCGTGAGTCCGCTCAAGTCTAGGCGTGGAATTTCGATCGATCGAGGGAAATTTACCAGATGACGCAAGAATTTCCGGCGCAAGGAAGAAGAACCGGCGCATCTGACGATCAAATCCGCCGCCGCTGCGCCGCCGTCGGGCAAATCGCCCTATCGCGCCTCCTTTCTTTGGAGCCGCGCTAGCGCCATAGCTCTCCCCTCTCTATGAAATGCGAGAGAAAAGAAAGAATAGAACTTGCAAGTATAACCCTTCCTCTCCACGTCTTCTCTGGCCGCGGCATTTACACTGGAGTCCTTGGCCCGGTGTCCTACATTGGGTGCATGGACGCATGGGGCATCATACCTATGGCGTTTGTGCGCCATCCATCGACCCAGTCGCATGTGCGCCGTATGAGGCGCCATGATGGCCATGATGGAGACCATGTATGGCAGCCACTCACCGACTGATGCCGGTCGGTGGGGTGGGTGAAACCGGCATCAGACGCGTGACCCACGGTTAAAAAAAAAGCTACCTAGCAGGGGGACAGTTTCCACCATAACTGTAGCAGCCCTAAATTCGGGCATTTTCTCAAGAAAGAAAATGCCCTAAACCGGCATTTGCAGCAAATGCCGGTTTATCACCGATTTACCCTCAGGTCTTCCATGTGGCGGTTAAGCGCCAGGAGCCTCTCACGGACTTGTTTGGATTCCAACTCTAGGGTTTCTTTGCTCACGGCATCCATCGCCCAGCTCTTCCCCAGGCGCCGCTCCTTCATGAGCTTGCGGACCTTGTCCAGCTCATCCAGCCGTCCAGCTGCCGCGTGGAGATTGGACAGGAGAATGTAGGGCCCTGATTCGTCGGGCTTGAGCTCGATCACCTTTAGGGCAGCCCTCGTCCCGCGCTCGGTGTCGCCATGGATCTTGCAAGCGCCCAGCAAGCTCCTCCAGATCACAGCGTCGGGCTCCACCGGCATGGCGGCGATCAGGCGCTCCGCCTCCTCCAGCTTCCCGGCCTTGCCGAAGATCTCCACCATGGCGCTGTAATGCGCGCGGCGGGGCTCGATTCCGTGCTGGGATCGCATCGACAGGAGGAAATCCCAGGCCTCATCCACCAGCCCGGCGTGGCTGCACGCTTGCAGCACCACGCAGAAGCTGATCCAGTCGGGCGGCATCGCGATCTTGGCGAAGAGATCCAGCGCCTCGGTCACACGGCCGTTTCCCGCGTAGGCCGCCAGGATCGTGTTCCAGGAGACGATGTTCTTGCTCGGCACAGCATCGAAGATCCTCCTCGCCTCCTCCACGCAGCCGCATTTGCCATACATGTTGATCAGAGGATTGGCGACCTGGAGCATCGCCTCGAATCCACAGGCTTTGATCCTGGCGTGCAAGATCCGGCCCTTGTCTAGAGATTGCCGCATCGCAAACGCGGCGAGGAGGCCGCTGTAGCTCATCTCGTCCGCCTCGATTCCTTCCTGGTCGAGGCGCCGGAAGATATCCAGCGCTTGCCGCGCTTGCCCTGTCCGGGCATACGCGGTGATCATCGCGTTCCAGGAAACGACGCTCTTCTCCTCGAGTCGATCGAAGAGCTCCCTGGCGCGGCGGAGGAAGCCGCATCGCGCGTACATGTTGAAGATCGCGGTGGCCGCGACGGTGTCGGCATCAAACCCCAGCGCCACGATCCGGGCGTGGATCGTCTGGCCCTGCGCGAGGAGCTCCAGGCGAGCGCACACGCCGAGAATCTCGACCAGGACGATGCGATCGGCTCGCTCGCCATGAAGATCCATCTCCCGGAAGAGCCGCAGCGCCGCCGCGTCGTGCCCGTTCTGGGCATATGCCGCGATCATGAGCGTCCAGGAGAAGACGTTGCGATCAGCAATGCGATCGAACACCGCGCGCGCGATCTCGGCCGCGCCGCACTGGCCATACATCTGGACGAGGAGATTGGCCAGGAATCGATCGTCGCCGTGGCCGCGATCCACAATGTGCTGGTGGATGCGCTTGCCCTCGCCGAGCAATTGCCGGCTCCCGCAGAATCTCATGAGGAACTCGTACATGGTGAAGGTAGCGCCGCACAGGAATTCGTCCAGGCGATCGGGAGTGAAGCCCTTCTTGGGGCGGCCTTGGAGAATGCATCCTCCACGATTGTGGGAAGAATGCTGCTGGTGGCTCGATGACTTGGATCCTGCCGTGTTGAAAATCGCGCACGCTGCCATAGGATGAGGACTCCACTGTATCATGCATAAGAGAAACTCCCACTCCAAGAACCCTAATCCTAAAGGCGGCAAAAGCTTGAGTTTTAAAACGCAAACTTTTGGCGGGCGAGGCTAGGGTTTGGAAATATTTTGGGGCAAGAGAAAGAAAGATGAGCGCTCGACGGGGCCGGAGAAGGAATGCCGCCACTGCGCCATCGCCTGCATCGCCGCTGGCGCCTTCTTCTCCCGTGAAGAATGTCTCCGATCTCGCCGCCTTGCGAGCTTGCTTGGATTCTCGGATCGAGAGCCTGCGCGCCGATGCGGAAAAGATCCAGGCGGCTTGTGGCAAGGAGCTGGAATCGACACGCCAGAAGCTCAGGAAGCGAGTGGAGGTAAGCAGTCGCTGAGCTAGCTATGCCGATCGTGCTGCGGTGGGATGAAACTTCTTTCACAGGCAGAGCAGGAAGAGGCGGCAAAGCGCGCCGATGCGGCCAATCGGGCGTGGAAGATCTTTGCAACGGAGTACGAGGAAGATCTCCTGGATATCGAGGTAACACATAGCTGGAAATATTTCTTGTTTGTTTCTTTTGACATTCTTTTGCTAGCAGAACACGTACAAGGAGCTCGCCGCAAAGTTCCAGCGTAAGATCCAAATTCTTGACATAGTTTGCTGCGACGAGCAAGATCTAACAAATGTTTCCATTGTTCTTCTCTGTTCCCCTTGCAGCTACAAAGGCGCCTTGCAGTGAGGTCGTAAAATCGGCCGAGGACCAGATCGAAAGCCTTCGTCGCAAGTATGTGAGAGCTGGATTATAGCCTTCGTTTTTCTGATCGATGGTCACCATGATCGATTCCTATTCTTTTCCTTTGCTACATAATCTCTCATCCGCTACTCTACAGGTTTTCTGAAAATAAAACCTTCACAGATCGAGCTTCTCTCATGGTTGGATTTTCTTCGCATTTTTTTAACGTTCTTATTGGCACCCAACAAAAAACTGACATGTGGCATTTGGGCGCGCTGACATGGCACTTTATTGGTGCTGGATTGTCTTGCTGTGACCTTTTAAAAATCTCTGGCCTTGCTTCTATGGAAGATGAATCTCCACGACCTAATAATGGAGGCATTGCCCGAGGATGCCCTGGCGGAGGAAGAGGAGCGCCACAGCGACGATGGAGTACCGATTCTCTTCCAGGGATGGCGATCCACTCCGAATTTCGCGACGAATTCCTCGTCCAGGCCGCTGATCAGGTTCGTCGATGGCGTGGATCTAGATTCAGGGAGCCAGGACGCCACTGCCGCCGCGGCTCCTCCTTATCTGGCAGACATCGCTTTGGATCACGCGTCCTTCTCAGCGATCGCAGCGGAATTCGAGCAGAATTTGCAGGAGGCGGATCGACACCGCGGTGCCAGGGTTTCTCCGGATGATCGTCGCGGAGAGCAGGAAGGAGAAATTCCCAACCATTGTTTATCTGGGGCTGATCGGGAGGATACGAGGCCCAAGATCGGATCGTCGGATAGATGGGTTGTGATGAACGTTGGGGGCATCCGGTGGACAACTACGGTGGAGACTCTATGCATGGATTCCGGATCCATGCTCGCTGCCTGGGTGCTCCGGTACCGCAGCGACGAGGAGGAGCTGCGAATCGATCGAGATGGCAGCCGATTCGCTCATGTCCTGAATTACCTCAGGGAGGGGACGCTGTGGCTGGAAGATTTGCCATCACTCAGAGGAATCTACGAAGAGGCAAAGTTCTACCAGCTCAAGGGACTCAAAGCTCTTTGCGAGGAAAGGATGCTCGAGGTGGAGGCCAAACACGCGGCCGAGTCCAAGAGGCGGAAGGAGGAGATCGAGGAGGCTCTCAAGGGAGCATTCTTTCGGTGGGAGAGAGATCGAGCGTACCACTTTCCCAAAGGAAAGAACGACGTGCTAGCGATTTTGCGAGGCAGACGACTGGGTATAAGCGAGCCACCAAGATTCGACATGAACGAGGACTTTTAGAATTTCTTGTGTTCTTTTAAAACGCTCATAGATCCAATTTCGATAGGTCGTGAGTGTCACCTGAAATAAATGATATTCAAATAGATAAATGAACAATTTCCTCTCAAATAATTAATAATGTTTAAGTTTAAACAAGGAAGGTTTCTTATAATTAATAAAGTTAATTTATCTTTTTATCACAATTCATATATTAAATTTAAATGTCTAATGTATGTGATTTGTAACATTATAATATAAACTATTTATAATCATATATAATTATAAAATATTTTGATATAAAGTTTTAAATATTAAAAAACATAAAGAAGAAATATTTTCTTACATTTTATCAATATAAAAATAGCAACTACTCAAATTTATGTATTGACTGCATGTGAATTTTTAGAACCGTTTCGAATGCTTCAAAAAAGCTATATACCACACAATAATGAATATTATCACCTTGCATTTAGGTATAAAATTTTTTTGGTTATCTTAATTTGAAAAAGATTTCTAGTATATTATCCTACAAAAACACAAAACCTTTTAGTAACATGATTATTTTACATTTTCACCAACTAATGATAAATATTATATTTATTAAATCTCAAATATTTTATTTACATAAGTTAAATTTTTATATTGTGAAATAAGATACCAAAAAATATTTATAAATTTTATATTTACTATAATAGAAAAATATAAAAAATATATTAAATGAAAAATAAAAAGAACTTCCTACCTTATATTTCCAACAAGAAAATAAACAAATTAAAAATATAATAAAAAAAACTACTAAAAAACTAAAAACTAAGTAAAAAAGACATTTAAAGTAGTATTTACTAGTTAGTTCTTACAAATTGAACATCAATATTTTCAATTCTTTAAAAAATAACATCTTAAAATTTATTTATTAAAAAATAATAAATTTATTTTATAAAAAATTAAAAACAATTAATATATAATTTAATCTACAAAATATAATTACATTTTTCCTATAAAATCTCATATAGATTTTTAAAAATACAATTATAAAAATTCATATCACCTAATAAAAGTGAAAACTGTTACATCATATAACCATAAAAGTT